TTGTGCTACCAGGGACACAATGCACCACACTGGAGTCACCACTATCTGCAGCACTGTACAGTTTTTATATATTTTCAAACATATCTAATTTGACACGATCAAACAATTTGCACAACAAAGGGCGTTGTGCAAACATTTTGATCATTATGTGTGTCTTGACTGGAGCTGTTGCGCAACAATTTGATTAAATTCGAGCTTGTTTGAAATTATTTGTACAATGAGTGATTTGCTCAAACAGGTTTGAACGTGTATGTTTGAAGGTGTTGTACAACGTAACAAACGAATAGTGTCATACAACTAGAGTTGTTCGAGCTGTTTTAAAAAATAAATAAATTGGCTTTATCTACGGTTGGAAATAAATAATTTTGGCGAGAATTTATACAGATGTGTCGCTATTTACCCGAACTATGGAAAGTTGAAAGTGAACTTTATAAAAATTGAAATTTAAAAAGTGCAGGCTTCTGTAGACATTTTTAAGAACAAAATTAATTTAGGAACAAAATTAAAACGATACCAGTCAAACGCGAACAAACTACTTAAAAATATAAGATACTGCCTATATTTTCAATACATTTGCACAAACTGTGGTATCGTGTATACAGGGTGATTCAGAACTTATTTTAAAAAAAATCTGGATGTACAGGGGACTTGCAAATCCAATTTTGTAAAAAAATCAATCAAAAAGAGCAGTTCGAAAATGGTTTAAAAATACACTTCTGCATGGCACTGGAAACTGGTCCATTGTAAAACCTGACCTCGCACAATGCGACCGTTACGGCGGCAATTAAAAAAACGGACAAAAACTTAAACGAATTTCGCAAGGAAAGGAAATAAATAGAAATTTATAGCACCTCTATTTTATATCAGCAAATTCAACTGCTTTTGTCGCTATTGTTATTATTCATTAATAAAATTAATTTGTGGTTTTAATTAATAAAATAATTTGACATACCTACCTGATGTTACAACAACTGTTGAAAATTTTGTCCACCGACGTGTAAACACATTTGGTCCTGTTTACTAAGTTTCTACGAACTAACACAAATGTTTCACCATAATACAAATGTTGTCTTGCTTCACCATGAATTATAACGATATCCATCAACTCCGAGTTGCTATACACACAAGCCATTTTTGACAGTAACTAGGTATCCCACTAAACACGAAACGTAAATGAAACGTTGCAAATGAGATGTTTTACTAAACATTTGAAACATTAACTAGAAACGTTTCTGTTTCATTACAGAAATGTAGCACTTGAAAACTTATTTAGTGAAACATAGCCGAAACGTTACAATTGAAGAGAGTTTGAAACATTACTCGAAACATTCCCTTTCGATCTCGGAAACATAACAGACGAACAACCCTTTGCTATTTTTGCTTATCTTATGGAACATTCGGCATTAGTTAAATTTTGCTCTCAATCCCCAATCCTTCTCAAGCGTTAGTTCATTTGCCTTTGTTATATAAAGACATAATTAGAAAAAAAAAGTGGTAGCATATTTATAACACAAGTCTAGAAAAAATGTATGTTCGTGACTTGCGTAGACTGCGCGTAACAGCCCGAGTTTATTTGTTTCCCGTGTGTCGTTTCAATTCGTATTATGTTAGGTTAGGTTTGCGGTTTGTCAGTTTGCTTGGTTTCGTTGTTATTCATCTTTACTTTGACGCTATTTTATGTGATAATTTGTAGTGTGTGCAGTTGTGGTTATTGTAAGGTGCATATAAAATAATGAATATTGATGCAAAATGTTTAAAACGATATGTGTAGAGATTTCCAATTTTGCGTCACATCTACCTAAATATAGTTATACCCACTACTATTACAGACAAGAGGACAAGGGACAAGAACTAAGAAAATGGAACAACAACATACGTTTCGATATAATTTGAAGAGCAACTACTTAGTCAGTGAGAACTATTTGAAATATGGATGAATCAAGTGAAATAGACGTCATTTATTTTATATTTTGTACAAATGTTTATATTTGTTTATGTGTATAGGCATGCTTAAATAAAAGAGTTTAGGTATACCTACAGATATTTACTTTGTCAAGATATCATTTTGTATCCTTATTTCTGCTGTATAATTTATTATTATTAAAAGGATATATGTAATATTGACCATGCGTAGAAGAAATTATAACTTTATATTATTTTTCAGTAATGTTATTTGTTTTTCATGTACCTACCATTTCAAGATTCATAATCATAACTAACTTTTTCTAATTATCAGTTCGTCATTGTTACCATATTCATGATGGTCTCAACATTAGAAAATTTCCATTTCAGAAGCGTATTTGAACAATATAAAATGTGTAGTTTTTTTTAAATGCTTCTGATATTGTTTTGTGATATTTTTATTTGTACGATGAATGGCAAAATTCGTAATCCATATTAGAAACTTTTTTCAGTGGCTTCTCAAAAAGAAAGAAATTCTTAGTAAAAGTTGCCGCATCCCCAAACTAGAAGAGCATATTTATTTTTTTTAATATACAATGTAACTTTTTTTAGTTCGAATTAAGTCATTCACAATACAAATAAAAATATCACAAAGGAGTATTAGAGATATTTAAAAAAATACTCACACTATTTATACTATTTCAAAAACGCTTTTGAAATGAAAATGATCTAAAGTTGAGAGCATTATGAGAACAATATGGTAATCAAATTATTATGTTACTCAAACATTTCTGAAAATATACTGAAACGTAAAACAAAAATATCGAGGGCATAAATGGAACATAAAAAGAATGTTACTGAAACCAATTTTTTGAAACGTTTCATTGGAAACGTATTTTGGGGAGGACATCTTGGGCTTCTAGAGCGTTACCAGAACGTTGCATGGGTTTTTTATGAAACGTTTCAAGAAAAATGGAAACGTTTCTGAAACATGTCGGAAACTGAAAAATGTTTAGTGGGATAGGTAAAAAAGCTATTGTAAACACTACTTCAACGACGATTGTATTGGGAGTCGCTGAAGCCAAGTGGCTCTCACGCGTATTGCGAATGACGCTAGAGACTACAGTTATCCAGTGATGTAATGTTTGACAGTAGTATAACTAAACTTCAATAATTTTTTTCTCGGAAACTACCTACCTATAAGGATTTTACAATTTTTTTTTACGATATAGACTCCATTTCTCATACCGCATCTATTCCCAAATTGTTTTGGATAAGTTCTGAAATCACCCTGTATCTGTACCAAGTTGTACAACATTATGTTGTACAACAAAAGTTTGCACAAATTGTTTGATCGTGTATGGGGCCTATTATACACACTTAAATTTTACATTTTGACGGAGAGGAATAAGCGGAAAAACATGTATAGTTCTTTTCATATATATTGTAGAAATAAAAAACTCTTTTATATTGCCGATAACGACAAAAACGGGGTGGTAAATACTTGTCTGCTTAGCAGAACAGGGTCGTATTTAGGCAAAGTTTACAGAATATAATATTTAAGTCTCCCTTCAAACAATTCACAACAGACACTACTACACAATGGCTGTAAATTGAAAACAATTGCAGTGAATTATAAAAGTTATTCAATAAAAAACTTGTAATAACACAAAAATCACTACTCAAAACACTACTCTAAGAAATAAGAACGACAGCATTGCAGCACCAACTCCTGCCCTGTACCGCGCAAACTGATCTATCAGAAATTTAAAGCAATAAGTTCACCGTATCTAATTGTTGATTGTCTCTGCCTCACATTAGCAATTTGAGAACAACGTACGTCTTAGAGAGATGTTCAGAATCTGTTTTGTTGCCAGCCTAGCTGTATTGCCAAGTGTTTCGGCGAATTAGTATTGTACTAAAAATGAACAACATACATTTCAAGAATGAAGTGAATAATGTAATTTTTCTTTAAATAAATGTATGCAAATTCAGCCTATTCTTATATTTTCAGAACATAACTTAATATTTTAAACGTAAATATCTGAATAAATTAATTTCATTCAATTTATCAATTATTCATTTAGGGAATATTTTTACATGTCGGCAACACAGGGCCCACGTCCGGCGATTCAAGATCCCGCCCACCTAGGGTAAAGCGGAGCAAACTTTAAATTGAATAAATTGAATACCTGACAAGATATGTACTTATTGATTAATATCACTTTACTTCTCATTAATTTTGTATTCAATTTATTTAGATGAGTGTACCTGATAAGAGCATTATGATTTGTGAAATAAATTAGCTGTTAGAACATTTATTTTCTGCGGACATTTAAAAATTGTCTTGCCCTACTCTCCCCCTATCACACTTACCGGCAGGCTTTGACATTTTTTATGTCTACTATAAGTATGAAAAGAACTATACATATTTATTTACAAAATATGATCTCACATCTGTAGTCAATGAATCTATGAATGAATAGTTCCTATCGAAGGATTTGTTCCGATCAATGATAAATCATGAACACCAACCTTAACCCAGAAAATATTACTAAATGTTTTTAGCATAGCATACGTCTCCATGATAGCATAGTTCATACTTCATAGTAGTAAGCACAAATGGCACAAATTCCATAGGTTGTTTCTAGGTTAAGAAGAGTTAAAACTGGGAATTTGGCTATTTTATAATATAAAAATTATTCATAAATATACAGTTTGCAAATATACATTTGCTAATTTATTTCGAGACGATAAAATTGAAATAAAACTAGATTTTACTGATAGGTAATGTATTTAATTTAATGATTGTTTATAAACTGACTAGAAAATGATTAAAGGGTCTAAAAATGTCTCTGGTATCCCACTCTTGTATTAAAATAATTCAGTCATGGCTACCACAGGTAATATTTAAGAGATACAGATATCATTCAGAGAAAATTGCCAAGGGTCCTCTATTGCGAAGGTATGGTTATGAAAATCCTGTTCTACAAAGAGGCCCATTACCGAGAATTGAAGGTGCTAAGAAATTACCTATGCCAACATATAAACCAAAGGATAGCTGGTCGGAGAAAAGAGCTCTTTTTGGACAAAATGATTATATAGACATTTTGGGAAATGAAAAATTACATCCTACGAGAATTTTATATAATGTACCAGCTTGGCTTAGAGGAGTAGGTGGAAATGAATTTCAAGTTATGATTAGAAAAAGAAAAATGTTGGGGAAAACCCCATATCCTCTTGCCAGGCCTACAAAGTGGTATCAACTGCAACTGAGAATTTCGTATTTATATAGATTTATGAACAGAAAAACTAAAACTCCTTTTTCAAAACAATAATTGGTAAATTTTAGGCATACATATTAGGCATTGTAAAAATGTTCATATTTGATACATTTATTTAAATTCGAGTTTAAATTATTTCCGTTGCCACAAATAAAAATGTGTAAATAGTAATAATTTTTTTAAGTTGCTATAGGAGATCCTTTTTACTAGATTGTTAATATAAAGTGTCGCAAGGCACTTGGCACTTGGCACATGGTTACACCTACTGCAGATGCATTTTTATAAATGAGATCATATTCCCTTAAGGGATTTTATACATCGTTTATATTGTAAAATATTATAAATCAATTGTAATAATAATAAAAAAGAAATAAGCAGGAAACAGAAATATTTGAAAACTTATAAATTAAAAAATTAAAATCAAATATAGACAAAGCGTTAGTAAATGAAAAGAGATGGGTTACAACACGGGTAGGTAAGCGAGTAATATTAAAAAAATATTGATGTAATCTCGTCCTTATTTAACTACAACCTGTTTGGTAATCAATGTAAAATATGTCAATAAAATGAAAATAAAACATTTTCCCGTTTTTCTTTAAGCCTCTCTTGAACTATAATAATTGTGCCGGACACAGTTCAGGTCTAGTAAGCAACANATTTGTATATGGGTTTACTTTTAAAAAAATTTTAAATAATATATAGGGGATATAAGTGAGAAGTCGTTTGCATACGATAGATGGCGCTGTAATCAATTCACAAAGTATAAAGTGTTGCCTACTCATTAGGAGCTACGTAGTAGTAAGCTTCCAAAACGTTACGTGGCGCTGTTCCGCGGTTTGGTGACAATATTGGGGACATTTCATTCTACATTAGTACTGTATTTTCCATGGATTGTTTCTAGGTTAAGAAGAGTAACTGGGAATTTGGCTATTTTATAATATAAAAATTATTCATAAATATACAGTTTGCAAATATACATTTACTAATTTATTTCGAGACGATAAAATTGAAATAAAACTAGATTTTACTGATAGGTAATGTATTTAATTTAATGATTGTTTATAAACTGACTAGAAAATGATTAAAGGGTCTAAAAATGTCTCTGGTATCCCACTCTTGTATTAAAATAATTCAGTCATGGCTACCACAGGTAATATTTAAGAGATACAGATATCATTCAGAGAAAATTGCCAAGGGTCCTCTATTGCGAAGGTATGGTTATGAAAATCCTGTTCTACAAAGAGGCCCATTACCGAGAATTGAAGGTGCTAAGAAATTACCTATGCCAACATATAAACCAAAGGATAGCTGGTCGGAGAAAAGAGCTCTTTTTGGACAAAATGATTATATAGACATTTTGGGAAATGAAAAATTACATCCTACGAGAATTTTATATAATGTACCAGCTTGGCTTAGAGGAGTAGGTGGAAATGAATTTCAAGTTATGATTAGAAAAAGAAAAATGTTGGGGAAAACCCCATATCCTCTTGCCAGGCCTACAAAGTGGTATCAACTGCAACTGAGAATTTCGTATTTATATAGATTTATGAACAGAAAAACTAAAACTCCTTTTTCAAAACAATAATTGGTAAATTTTAGGCATACATATTAGGCATTGTAAAAATGTTCATATTTGATACATTTATTTAAATTCGAGTTTAAATTATTTCCGTTGCCACAAATAAAAATGTGTAAATAGTAATAATTTTTTTAAGTTGCTATAGGAGATCCTTTTTACTAGATTGTTAATATAAAGTGTCGCAAGGCACTTGGCACTTGGCACATGGTTACACCTACTGCAGATGCATTTTTATAAATGAGATCATATTCCCTTAAGGGATTTTATACATCGTTTATATTGTAAAATATTATAAATCAATTTTTAATAATAAAAAAAAGAAATAAACAGGAAACTGAAATATTTGAAAACTTGTAAATTAAAAAATTAAAATCAAATATAGACAAAGCGTTAGTAAATGAAAAGAGATGGGTTACAACACGGGTAGGTAAGCGAGTAATATTAAAAAAATATTGATGTAATCTCGTCCTTATTTAACTACAACCTGTTTGGTAATCAATGTAAAATATGTCAATAAAATGAAAATAAAACATTTTCCCGTTTTTCTTTAAGCCTCTCTTGAACTATAATAATTGTGCCGGACACAGTTCAGGTCTAGTAAGCAACATACCGATTAGCACAATAAATATAAGTGAATGAATTAGTGGGCCTTGTGGAAAGTTTTACATAATATGACGTGGTAAACAAGTAATTTTTCCTCGGAACTTTATGCCTATAGTCACAAAATTATACTAAAAGTTTGCACCTTACTTATTGCTATTTGTACTACTACATAGCAAATGTTACATTAGAAGTAAATTACAATATGTCTCGTATTTGATTTTAAACATTTTTTATTGGAAATCGTTTAAATTTGGGTCAATACTTTTATGATACATAGGTTATAATTGGTCCGTAGTGGCAGCGCAGTAACAGTCATTAACTATGTTTTTTTAGTAGGTAATGGTTTCATAGATAGATTATAGCATGATTTTTAAAAATCTTCAATAGCTCAAAAGCCTAAATCGCTAAATAACAAATGTGCAAGGGGGCCTTTTTGCTCTAAAATAAATGAGCGGTTCCTAAAAATAAAGTAAAAACCAGTGGCGAAGATTTTCTGGTAAAAAATCAAGACTTCCCTATATCTACGCCCCTGATGGGTTTGAAATGCAATCGATTATACCAAATTATAACCTACGTATCATAAATGTATTGACCCAAATTTAAATGATTTCCAATGAAAAATTTAAAAATTATCAATAAAAAACATTTTTTTAATTTTTTTTTTGACACGAAGCATTTACGGACCTACGCCTACATTCGTAGGAATTTTTTTCATAATTTTGGATGTACAATCTGCTCTAGAATTCTCTGAACATTTTGCAACCCTGTATATAGAAATAAGATAGGTGTTAAATTTCTTTTAAATATGTACATTTTACCAATATCTGTTACATATCCTATTAAAATTTCTTATTTTGAAAAGTCCTACACAGCCTGAATTGATTAGTTTAGAAATATGATTTGCATTTGTTGCGCTGTTATCTTCGATTGTCTAATTTTGTCGTCAAAATTCACTAAACTGTTTTATCTTCAAGAAAACAAAAAATATAAGAATATGACAAGCATATTATAGCCTCCAAGTTTTTTTTTTAGCTAGATTGTGCTTAGTTTTTACAGATGATAAATTAACATATGACCTGTTAGAATCTATTTACAAATTCTTTTTATTCAATAGGTGCAGAAGGCACACAAAACAAAAATTTTGAAAAAAAAAAAATTGTTAATAGTAAAGAAAAAACCTATTACCTATAGTCAATTTTCAAAATGATTGCCATTTTTGGGAATCTTTCGTAGTGTCTACCTCTTTATGTCATGTTAATTTAGTTTTTCAGATTATTTTAATGGGTGGTTTTATATAATCTGTATAAAAATACAGTTCAATTTGTTGCATTGTTTCTATAAACAAAGTGATTTGGAGAATTATATTGTGAATAATTAAAAAATACAATGTTTCCCGTCCCCCGAAAACTGCTCTGGTAACTTTCTGAAAGCTTTTTGTTTTCGATAAAAGTTTCCTATGAAAGTTTTATGGTTTTTCTTTTTAGGATTTTAAAAATTAAATTTTGAATAAGATAATTGAACAGTGAGTATGCAACATGAATATGTAAATTGTTAAATTAAATTTTTTGTGACTATCTTGTTATATTTTAGAAATCTTCACAATAATGTAGTATACTATAAAAATCGTAACTACAAAGAGTTATAAAATGTTACTGTAAAGGGTTGTTAGCGACCTCTAGTGAACAATCAAAAACTAATAACAGTGACGTATTTAGCACCCGCAAAAACTTACCTGTACTAAATTTTTTTGCGCAATTTTTTTTTTAATCTTTAAAGCCCCTCAAAGGTCTATATAAGTTTTACAGGAATCTTCTTCCCTAAAGTTAAAAATAAAAAAGTTACTAACACGATTATTTCTTGTGGAAAATCTAAGGTGTCCATAATCCTACTGTCCTAGTATGCAAAGCGATTGAACTTCAAATTTTGTCTATGTTTTGGATATCTCAACAATTCCTAAAGAAAAGTTCATATATTCAGTCCTTGTTGTATAAAACACAGAGCAGTTCCGCTAAAATAGTGAGTGTTCACAAACACACTAAATTATTCTCCAATCTTTCTAATATTTATTATAAGGCTCCGCAGAGTTGCTACTGCCGCCAGAATAGTCACAAGGACATCCACAACGATGCTGCCAGGCATAAGACCAAGTCCTCTGGCTACAAAGAGACAATTCACAGATGTTTCAAAAAGTTACCCACCAAGTTTCACCAGGATAAGAAGATTGTCGTTTCTATTTGTTCGGACGACGATGACAACGTATATTGATCTCTTAGTTGTTGAGTGCAAAAAGCATAAAAATTTTTTGCCCCACTCCAAAAAAATGGTGAAAATTTTCGGGAACTAAGCCAAACCATACATTAGGCTGCCTAGTGGGATGCACCCAGCCAGTGAGTGAACACCAACCCAGGCTTCCTGCAATTTATTAACCTGAGCATGGAAAGACCCAAACGTTTACAACTCACCAGCGTAATCCAACCTAACCAGATAACAAGTGCCTGGCCAGAGTATGTACTTTACCCGAATCTCAAGGATTCATACTGTATAGCAACCACCGCATTACTGTTTAAATGAATGGGAAAAATCTCATGAATTTTTAAACTGCGTTTCGAGTTATAATTCTCCTAAAAATTACCAAACCGAGCGCAACGCTCACATCAGTTGAAAACCTGTTACACAAAACAATTAAATAATAGACTTATCACAGTAAAGTGCAAGTGTCCAAAGTGCGTTTTAGGTCAAACCACAACAATTAGAGTGTGGAACATCCCTCCAAAGCAACACTAGAACTCAACAATGGAGGAAGAGCTTTCATCTCTGAGTCTTTCCCCAACATTCCTCATGGCTAATGATAAAAGAGAAACGCTCGAGATACTTGGGAATCCCCTCATCGGCGAGTGGGCAACTAACATCCCAGCACCACAGGTGAAAACGGACCCAGACAGAATTGCTCCTTCCGGACCCATTATAAGGGTTGAGGGCCTTCTAAACATGCTAAGGGGAGTTGATGGTGGGTTAACTCCACCCCAAGCTAGTCAGACCCATCAGAATCCGTGGCATGGTACCCAACGTGGGGCTATGTTACAAAAGGAGGAAATGACCTATCAAGTCCAGGACACTAATCTCAATACCGCACACATTCTCAGATCAAGAACTAAGAAGGAATCAGTACATTATGCATGCGGTATTAATGTAAGAAAAATATACAGTTTTTGTGAAATTTTATTTGTTAACTTTGATAATTTACCAATGTTTCTATAACCAGATTAATATATTCAACCACTGTTAAAAAGACAACCCATTTAACACAAATTAGAAACATTTACTTTATTAGAAATTCATATAAATAACTTAACTAATTTATACAATTTGAATAAAAGCTTCTAAAAATATTAAAATGTATATATACAATAAAACTGCATAATAACTCGGTTAATTAATACAAAGCAAAGATCAATTGAAATAATCTAACAGCCAGTGATTTTTAATAAAAACATTTATTCATTGGGAAAAACACTCATAATGATTTGTATTAACAATTCATTTATAACAATGCTGCCTTTTGCTATTTTTATTAATACACGCTAAATTGAAAAAACTAATCTCAAGTAAAAAAAGTATTTAAATGGACAATAAATAAAGCTGTTATCTATAAATTTTAAGACAAATGACCTATAGAAACATTTTCAGTTAAAACAGAGGTAGTATTTAACTGTAAAATAAGTAATTATAATTATCCAGATCGATTTCTAGAAAAAACATCCATTTCACTGCAGATAATTATTACATTCAAGAAATACTTATAAATTGTTCTGAAGAAAAGATAATAAAGTCGTCTCGTAATGCTTACTAGCATCCAGATGTCTTAGCGAGTGCCGTTCATTAGGATAGATTTGTAATTGGTAAGGTTTCCCAGCCTTTATCATACTATTTATAAGTTGGCTTGTGTGGTAGAAGTGTACATTTTCATCTATGAGACCATGAATTATAAGTAATCGATTCTCCCTAAAATATACAGGCTTAAATCAGTTTAATATTCAAATTAAATCGTAAGCTAATTAAAATTAAATTCATTTTAATAACATTTCCAGGGTCTACTACATAAAACTGGAATTAGCATACGAAAGTGTTTATATTTAGAGAATTTTCGTTTCCATAAAGAAATTTTAATGCACAGGGAAAACTTCTTTGAATTTCTGTAGCGTCCCAAAATTCATACAAGCATATCGGGTAAATGGCCTCCACAACTTTGCTGGCACATATGCACTCTTGTCGAAATTTTCCATGACCGTGTTGATAAATGCGGCTGAACTCTCAATTTCCTCTTTCAAGGTGTGAGTGGTAGTGGGCTTGTTGGCATAAATCTCATACTTCAAAAATACCCAAAGAAAAAAGTCCAACAGCGATAAATTCTATGATCGGGGTGGAAAGTTCTGATCGCCAAAATGGGAAATTACACAACCAGAAAATGATTCATGCAATAATTGAATTGTTTCTCGGCTTGCATGGCATGTGGCACCATCTTGAGACCACATGTCGTACTTCCATATCTTGCAATTTAAGCACAAAAAACTGGATTATCATGTCGCGATAGCAAGCACTTTAACTGTTATTGCCTAACAAGACGCATTTTCGAAGAATGGTCCGATGATGCCTTCAAATTCGCACCAAACTGACATGTTGCGGATGCATTCGTTTCTCAACAATCACTAGTGAACTTTCTGAACCCCAAATGCGACAATTTTGTTGATAACGAAGCCTTCAAGATGATAGTGAGCCTCATTACTGAAGAGGATTTTATTCGAAAAGTCAGCATACACTTGTTCTATTATCTATTCAACAAACTCTCTACGCTTTGCATGGTCAGTAGGCTTCAGTTCTTGAGTTAATTGAACTTTATAAGCATGATGATGTAAATCTTTTGTGAGAATACGCTGTAGAGAGCTTCTCAAAATGTGTAATTCTTGATGATTTTCCTGGACTCTCAGCAACACTGTCATGAATTGTTTCGATGTTTTGTGTTGAACGTCTCGTTGAAGGATGGCCAGTGTTTAAGTTCACGAATTGATACAGTCTCCCTGAATTTTTCAATTAATCTCTTCACAGTTGATGAAGTTAAATCAATATTCTGACCATATCTTGTACAAAAATTGTGAACTGTAGCTGCCAAACCTTCATTATTTTTAAAATATCGCTTATCAATGAAAACGTGTTGTTCCTTCGTGTACGACTTCATTTTTAATAACCCTAAACTGTCAGCTGTTACACTATCTTTTTTTCGTTGACAACACTTTACCGTACAAATGGCACAAAATTCGAATCTTGTGTGAATTTTGGGACACCCGATATATGATAGAAACCATAGTTTTAGGAAATTTTCTTGATTTCGAAAAAATATACAGAAAAACAATTGACTTGCATTTCGATGAAATAAACCAAATTTTTTCTTTTTTTTTTTAAATAGAATGTCTTGTATACTTGTCATTTTTTGAATTTTTCTCTTTTTTTGCTGAATATTTTGGTTTATTTACAGTCATAGTCAACATTGCCGTGGAATCACTTGAGTGAATTTTGGGACAGCCAATAAATAGTACATTTATTATTATTGTTATTATTATTATTAACTTTCAAGAGCTGAAGGAAATGCTTGTTAAGCTCCAATACAAAAAAAAATACTTTGGAAGGAAATTTTATGAGAAAGTTTCCTGGCTGAAATTTACAGATTTCAATTCAATTCAAGATTCAATTTCAAGTTACAGATTTAAAAAAAAAGACTGTAACCTTAGACTCTAGTTATTTTTTGAAAATATATAATTATAATAATAATAAAAAAAAATGAAGCATGAGACTGATTTCAGTGTTCATGATTTCATGAATAAATTATTTCTAATAAAATTTGTAAAATGAGAACTTAAAATCTGACCCTGAAATCTCAAAAACGATTGCATATACATTATATCTATAGAGTATTTCTTTTCACAAACAATTGGTAAGTACTAACCAATGGTTTTCTATTTTTCACAACCTTAAATTTTGTTTTTGGTTATACTCAATTAAATTGGAAACTTTTCATCTCTACTTAAAACTGCAAAAATTGAGCCATCTATTGGGAGATCTTTTCTGACTAATTTTAAACAATAAACGATTATAACAAAATGGTTGAGAATTTTTGTTAATATATGAAACCTTTTCAAACTGAAATTGTAAAAAAGTGTAAACATGCACATCTTTGACGGAAAATAACACTAACAATGAGTTTTGCAGTCTGAAAGTCGCTAAACAGCACCAAATACAGGATATTTTTTAAAAAAGTACTATAAATTCAGGGGCTGATAGAATGTCAAAAAGACAATTTTTTTCTTATGGACTATGGGCCTGTTTCGTTTTTGACATACAGGGCATTGAAGATGGTTCTTTAAAATCAAATTTTAATAGTATCTTTTGCAGAAAACAATATAATGTAATGAAATTTGACACTGGTATGTTTCTGAAGGTAGTAAATATGTCAGTGTTATTAGTTCTTGTCTAATTGTTACAGGTCGTTAACTACAACCTTACCATTGACTTTTTATAACAACCTTTTTGAGATTATGATGTATGTCAGACATTACAGTGTAAAATTTAATTTTACGTAAAAAATGTACTCTTGTTGAAATGGTTGAACTCACTTTTTGAGAAAAACTCGATTGTCTCAGCTTCTATTCTGTAATATACAGTGTCCACAAATGAAATGGGCAATTCTCAAGGATAGCTTCCTTGAACTGAAATAAACAGCTCTAGACCAAGTTACTTTAGTATAATTTTACTTCCTTAAAAAGTTATATTAGTATTAAAATGATTTAAGCAAGTAAAATAGTACTGAGGCAATTTGATTTAAACAGGTTTCTATCTAAGAAAGTAATCTTTGAAGTGTGGTATGGGCCATTGCGTTTCCAAACACCCCATAGAATAGACTCTGGGACAGTTAATTGCATTTTTCTCTCTTGAAAATTTCCATTTTGAGGGATTTCAACAAGTGTTTATTTAGATCAAAATTTTAGTATATAGCGCAACAATCTAACCCCAAACAAATTATGTCTCAAAATGTCAATAAGCAAAACCATGGCTAGGGTTAAAGAGGGTAAAGAACTAACTACAGTGACACATTTATTATCCTCAAAACCATATTGCACAGGGTGGGACAATCGGGATTTTCCAGAAAAGATAGGCAAAATGTTGTTACATATTTTAAGTAGGTTTCTCAAATTATTATGCCATGGTCCATGTACCTGGTCACCCCTAGTTACAAACTTACATTGCACTTCCTTAGCCTTAGCTAAGAATCTTTGACCTATGCTTGTTCTCAGGGTGGGTTCTATGGAGACCGACCCCCAATATGAACTCTTAGGCCTGCTCTAATGTTCATTTCCGTTTTTAATGCTGATTTTAAGGCCATTTTTAAAGGGAGCATTGGATGTGACCAGTTACAGAAACCACTTTACAATGCCTCAGAGGACCACCATTGTCTGAAGAGATCTGACCGTAGTGGCTCCAGAACCAACAAGAACTGAAATGAACATCAGGGCAGGGCATGTTCTGATTAGGTGTTCGCCCACACAGAGCCTAGCCCGAGAACAAGGGCAGGTCGAAAACTAAGGAAATGCAATGTGTCTGCACTTGGCACTGGGCAGGTATATACACAGTATGTCGGAAAAATAACGGAACTTTTTAAATTACAAAAAAAAATTGTTATTTTGCCAAAATACATCCCTTCCGCATCAATGCACCTCTGGGCACGGTCAACCAATGCTAGCATATATTTTTTAACTCAATGACCCTCGTCACAGCTTCTTGGACTTGTGTAACATTGTCATAAAACATTCCCTTCATAGCCAGTTAGAGTTTCGGGAACAGAAAATAGTCACACGGAGATAAATAAGGCGAATACAAAGGATGTTGAAGCAAACAGAACTTGTTTTTTCATCAAAAATTTGCAAACAATGACGGTCCTGTGAGATGATGCATTATCGTGCAACAAAAACTAACTTCCCGGTATTCAATATTCGGGCCTCACTCGAACGAATCTCTTCCACAAACGCTCCATAATGCCCAGATAATATTCACCAGTGACATTTTGACCCTGTGGAATGAATTCCCAAAGTAGTAGAGTCGTAAAAACAAATCAACATTGTCTTCTCATGATTTTTGGAAATACAATTTCGGAGAGCCTGGAGACTTTCACGTAGCACTTTGGCGTTTTGTTTGAGGATTGTATTTGAAGTACCAAGTCTCATCACCAATTACAATCGATTCCAGGAATGTGCAGTTCTGTCTGGCTGTTTTAATAAAGTACTAGCAACGTTCAACATGAGCAATTTCTTGATCTCCATTTAAGACTTGAGGAACAAATCGAGCACAGACTTTCCGTTTGTTCAAATCCTTTGTCAAAATTTCGTAAATCATGTCTTTAATCATATTTAATTCCTTCGCTATCAATCCAGTTGAATTCGTATCGAAGGCGATCATTTCACCCACTTTTCCACCAACCCATCGGGATTTTTGTTTTTTGACCGTCCTGGTTTTGGGTCATCACCACCGCTCTGGAATTGAGTATACCACTCAAACACCACAAATTTTTTCAAATGTTTCTGTAAAAGTTTTACCAAACTTAAAACAAAATTTAATATTAGCTTTTTGCTCCATCGTATTTTTGTGTGGAGGTGACAAAAGGCACTGTCACTTTAAGTGCTATAACTTGACAATCCGTTGATCGATTCAAATGATATCAGTCTCATTTTGTAGAGTAGATATACAGCTTTCAGATTATATATTGTTTCAACAGATGGCATTAGTAGTATTCTTTAAATTTAAAAAGATCCGTTGTTTTTTCGATATAGGTACTATGTAGACAACAACATAACCCAAAACACCATCTTACTTTAAATATCAGCACGAGCTATGACAGATAGATAGATATTATGTTGCACTGAGATTATGAATTCTAATATTTTTCCAATAATTCAAGCCGGTTTGAAGTCTCGAAAACTGCTTTTTAGTGGAGTGTCTTGATGTTAGGGTCAAAACACGAATTGATCCGGGAATTCTGAACTTAATTTTTTGAACTATACTCACTCTTCTGGAAACTTGCTAATGAAATTTAATACGGAGCCCTCATAATATCCTTCCGGATTGTGTTCTGGCAAATCCATATATCTCTCTGTATAGCCAGTATCATACAAATTCCAGTTAGTGACTGGAGCTCCAGCTATGGCTATTTTAAATATGTCTGGATAATGTATTATACCCATTAAACTTAAATATCCACCTAGAATGAAAAAAATATCCTACATAAAATGCCAATTTAGGAAATTTGGAAGAAATTTCTTTTGGACAGAAAAGTCTATAAAATAATTCATGCACAATTTTTTTGTCCATAACTTTCTAACAGGTGAGCTGATTGAGATGAAACAGGTACTGATTCTGACTAAAGGCTCACTTTGTATCAATTCATATTTGATATGAGTGAAATGTATAACCTTAGAAACTTTTTTAAAGTGCTGAATGAGGCCACGTTAAATTAATCTCTAATAGCAATGGCTGCAATGCATGTAGTCCAAAAATAGTGAAATTTTGGTATAATTTCAGAAGAACAGCTTTAATAGCTACCAAATACAAATGCAGTTAAGTAGACCACCTAAATTTTAAAGATCACTCTTTTATGAATCATCTAAGGCTGGTTCATCAAAATCATTTGCTTTTTTAAAAAATTACATTGATGTTGAAAGAAAGTACTAAGAAAGTTACAGTTTACATATTCACAGTCTATTAGTTGCTTGAGAACTCACTACAAATTTATTAAATTAATCCCAAAATTATTCAAAGACTCCCTCGTCTCAGTTGAAATCACACAAATAAAATATATGATACAAACCATAAGACCATCCGTGAATAGCCACTCGATTCAAATCAATGTATCCTAAACTATCTGATAACCACGTCAAGACCTCAGCCTGGTCCTTAAGTTCTACAGTGCCCATTCTCTTTTTAATATAGCTCTCAAATTGTAAACCTCTATGCTGTGAGCCCCTGGAGTCTATTGCTACAACACAGTAACCTCTGGCAGCTAACATATGCATTCTTAATTGCCTCATTCCCTAAAATGAAGTAATACCTTTGATGCAATGTGAAATTTTAAAATAAATGGAGCTAATAAATTGAGAATGTTTATTCAATAAAATGAATTATTCTAAAACTAATGGTCAAACGTCAAACTAACAACACATCCCATTCATGCCTATAATATTCAAGTAACTTAGATTCCGTCTGTCTTGAAATCAAATTATTTTCATTAAAGGGTATAACACCACTGTAAAACGCTAAAATAAAGCTTTACTTTGCAATTTTTTTTGAATGTAAGATAAAGTAAGAGAATCATAAGGATGTTATTAACCATGTCTTTAAGTGTTCATAAAAATATATTTATTCATAAATAGTGCAAAATGGTAACACTGGAGCCATTCTCGCAAGGCATGTTGAATTTGAGGCGCTCTGCGGCACGCAGTATAATTGACACAAATTTAAAAAAAAACAATTAATTTTCTCTTAAATTAAGTAGGTATATCAGTATGCTTAGAGAAATTGTAACAAAAGCCGGCACTTGTGATAGATTATTTGTTAGTTCTTGGAACGGATGGGTCAACTTAGTCAACAATAATTATTGAAAAATTAAGGGTTTTCAAGTAGGTTTAGCGTCTCCATAAAGTCATTGAGAAACTGGTGCGTCTTGTCACCGGGAGTAATAAACTTTGAACAAGTAGACTTAGATCGTCGGGGCCATATGTTGGCCATCTGGTATCGACTAACTACGTCGGTTTAGCCCACGGTGACGGGAAAAATTGATATTTCTAATAACGCATGAAATACATTCTAAAAGACGTAGAAATTCCAAAATATTTAAATAAGTTGTTAGAATGTTGTGAGGAAAATAATAATAGATCAAATAGATGGTTTTTAGGCGGATTTTCCAAGCTATAAGAATAATAAATGAGATTGACTAATCCATCCTGTGTTGCTATACGGAGTCACAAGAGGAAGGTGTAATGTTACTTGTAAGTTCAGTTTAGTCACAAAATTATCCATACAATTGTAAATACAGTCAATTAGGTATTAAGATGGTATAGTTAAGCCATTTCAACTCTCAATATTCAGGTATCCCGCTAATAAGATAAGAACCGAAACTTCTGTACCCAAGAAATGGGCGTGGCGAAGAGAGGTGTCGAATTCACGAGAGATCTCCGAAAAAAAGGCAGTTCTCTTCTTGGATCCCTCACTGGCAGTTTTCTTCATTTTAGAGTCTCGGGTTAATTTTATAATTTTGCTATGAATTCGCGTTGGGTTCCCTGAATCTCGGATTGCTTTACCACGTGTAAATTTATTAATAAGGTTTGTTCGAATGCGTTGTGTCTTCGTTATTTTGTTTGTTTGTTTTGTTTTTATTGGTATTAAAAACCTTCTTTGAAGTTTTGGTGTTTTCTTGCTCTTCTAAATTAAGTGTCCATTGAGTGAGAGTGGAACACCCTGTACAACCAACATTCAGATTATACTCTACATGAGCGACATACGGTAAGTGTCTGGAATTAATTCTCTGAACATACAACATTTTTGAGTCCCCATGCATCAATTAAAGTGTAGATGATAATTAATTATAAACTCCCTTTCGAGATGTTAATAGTAAATTCTTTTGCAAGTTAATATCGTTATGATACTGGTCATAACGGTAGATAGATAAATGAAGAAATAACACCTCAGGTTACAACGTAGAGGATCTGGAAAACATTAATTTTTGTGTGATTGGCGAGTATTTGAAGTAAAAAGTTAAATTTTTGACAAAAATAAGGGGCTATCGTTTGTCAATAAATACATAATGTTAAAATCAATTTATCGAAAATTCCATATATATTTCTCTTTGAAAAGTTATTTTAAAAATTTGAAACGAATAGAACGTGCCATTTTATAAAATCATGTTTCGAGAAAAACCCCACTAACATTATTTCATTTGGAAATACTTCTAATGGAAGACAAATAGCTTCTAACATCTGTTAGTAGTACAGTGGAACTCCGATTATTCATGATCTATGGGACCATGCGCGGCACGGATAATTCGAAAACATGGATATAATAAAACATTTATTTTTTATATAAGAAACAGAGCAATACATAGGTAAACATGCACAAAATCATTGAAAATGCAATAAAATAGGCTAATAGGATATTTGCAACTTCTGCAGATTAGAAGCGTTAGCCACAATACATGATGCTAGACGGTCTTTATTGAACAAAAACACAAAATAATGTGTTACCATAATCCACACCCCAGAAAATCCGCACACGGATAATTGGAGTTCTACTGTATTAGAGAAGTTAGAAATCAAAAAGTTAAATCATTAGGGTGTACCCTTCCTGCAGGTGTCTACGTACTGCAGGTAGTCGTGTCAGAGCAGTCCAATGCGTTTGATAACTGGCTCGGAACAACTTCAAAGAAAAAAATTTGTACAGGCAAAAAACTTCATTCCCTTTATTTTGAAGGTTCAAAGCATCTTTTAAATCAATAAAAAAAAAGATTTCCTGTAAATTATAGTGGTCTTACCCTTTAAATTTCATTACAGCAATTATCACACATTTTTATGGTGGATCAACAATTATAAAAATAATAATATAAATAATAATAATAAAAATAATTGCTGTACGAGTTGATATTTTTATTTATTTTTAAGAAAACTTGGCTTTATGACCAAAACAGGATCCAGAGTGAACATACAGGGTGTAATTTTAAGTAAGGGACAGTTTTTTAAAGGTAATAATAATAATGTGTTCCGAAGAACACAAATAAGAAATCGTTTTTTTTTATCAAATGAATAGGCGAGTTTTGTATTTTAATCTGCACATAAACTCTTGTCTATGCTGTCATTGGGTAGTTCCCAAAATCCCTTTATATGAACGCTTATAAATGTGGTGTATTATTACATATTTAAAAAATGCATGAAACTAACAGTGGCAGAAACCAAAACTGTAACAGAAAATAATTTTAAAAAACAGATTGCTTTAGTATGACTTGTGATATATTATTTTAAAGTCAGTACATTTTCTTTATGTCAATGTGGATGAAACGCTGAACATTAAAAAAATTGGAATGTTTCTAAAGAATTTATATTTTTTGCATTATTTATTATTATTAAGTAAAGTAATTTATGTTTTGAAATAACTATATTTGTTATTTTATAAAATGTACATACTAATCTGATAGATTTGAAAGATTTTTAAATAATTCCAAGTTTTTAATAAAACGTATTTTTACTATTTTTTAAAGCACTGCATTTAGTTTGTGAATTTCAGTGTCAATGAACTCTGTACACTGATCTAATCTAGGTGAACTTTATATTATTATCAATCCACCGAATGATGGGTAAAAAATGAAAAAATGACTGATATTAATTCGTTGAAATGATAATGGCCAAATATGTCACCGCTTCAATTTATTACATTAATGAGAAGGTGTTTGTTATACTCGTATGGTATGTCTTGAGCAGTATGAATAAATAACCTTATAAAGTGATTTGTTTAATGTGGTACAGTGTATTTATGTGTCTTAATTATTAAATTTCTGATATTTTAAAAAAACTATGTATATGTAAATGAATTAAGAAAGCTCTTGCGGTTGGTGTGCATGGTTCTTTGAAGTTACACTAACCTGTCCAGCAAAGGGATATGAAAATTATGGAAAAAAATTAATACAATTTAATTTACATGATGGAATTTGAGAAAACAAAATTATATGTCACACACAGGTAGTCTCTGTATAAATATGACCCCTATTAAAAGTTAAATCCTATATGTATATCTCTACTTACATCCCAAGTTTTGTTGAAACATCTTTAAATGTTTAAAAGTTATCTGTAATTACACATTACAATGTTTGTAGGCAACCTACAACCTTAAAGAATGTACAATTTTAGATATAATAATACATAAGTTGGAAAAGTTAAAACGGTTAATGGTGGTGTATCTACTGCATATTATTATATGTTCAAGCTATTTAACCACTAGCTTGTATTCAAACTGAGGGATCAATACATTTGAAACAAATAGTAGTTTTATATAATATACTATTTTTTAGTATTTACCTTAAAAGTATTTGACACTAGTTGTACCTCTGGCCCCCCATAAACATTAAGAACTGTAGGATACTTTCTTCCTGGTTCAAAATTGTGAGGCTTAAATACCATTGCATAAAGTACATGCCCAGATGATATCTCATGTGTGTACAGATCAGGAGAATAACAGTCATTCAATAAAGGTATTGATTCCACGAGATAACCAAGTGGAGTAAGGGTTATTCCTTCCACAGTCCAATCTGTGTGAACAAGTCGGAATACTTGACAAGCTGGAGGTTTTTGTATATTGCTGTATACAGTCACGATCATTGAACAGTCCTTAAATTTACAAGAAAAATTAATTTATTAATGAAGAGCTTGCACTTTCTTGTGGATTATGTTTTGTTTTTATAACCTACAATTAATTTTATGATAATCCCGTCCACAAAAATTTTTATTTTATATATTCTGTACTTACCTATTCTATTTCTATACACCAAACCACAGTGTTCTACAGTTCAACATACTTTACCTGATTGGTGAGGGTCGGAAGCATAGTGGCATGGCATTGGAGCAGCCCATAGAGTTCGGAACTCATAAAGTAAACATTTTACATTTTCATAAAAGTAAAATGGCCCATACCAAAAATATCATATAAAATTTTAAATGTGCAAAGTAGAGAAGTACTAAATAAAATAATACATAAATAAATACATCTTTATGTAAATAATTGTGTTTTAATGCATTTAAAGGTAATATATCAAGTGTGCTATCTCATGCGTGTCTCACTAACCAGAAAAATAAGTTGAACTGTAAACAATTTTGAAGGTTGGTTGTAACGAGCGTTCAAATAAAAATGTGGTCAAATTGGTTCTGAAAATTTGAACGTAGGGCGTAGCGTATAGCAAATGAACTTAAACGTCATCTGTCAAAGCGCTATATCGCCGCTATCAATTTGAATATTTTCGTTTTAAAAAGGGTTTAAAATGGTGTTTTCTCAAGAACAAAAAGTGTTTATCATAGAGTCCTACTTTAGAAATGGACGCAAGATTGATGGAATATGGAAGTATTCTATTGAGGAATGTTTCATAGAATTTCAAAATCAATTTCCCGGCGTTGCTGAGTACAAAATTTTTCAAAGTGCAGTTCAGCGTTGTGTTAATGTTTTTCGTGAAACGGGCAGTGTAACAAGAAAAGAAGGAAGCGGCGGACCTAAAAAGCGGACTGAAGAATTAAAAGAAAATGTCCAACAAATAATGGAAAATGCGCCAAGAACTTCTGTACGTTTTTTTATCACAAATGGTGGGAGTATCAGTCGGTACCTGCCACACAGTGTTAAAAAAAGATTTGCGTTTGTTCTCCTATCGTTTAACTTGTCAGCAAGAACTTCATGAAGTTGATTTTCCGTGACGGGCTGTATTTTGTGAATGGTTTTTAAACAACTACAGTGAACTTCATAATATCACCTTTTTTTCTGATGAAGCCTGGTTTCATTTAAGTGGTTACGTAAACTCACAGAAGTTGAGAATGTGGTCTTCTGAAAAACCAGATAACTTTTTTGTCGAGGGCCCTCTACACGCTCAAAAAATTGGAGTTTGGTGTGCTCTCAATCAAAGGAGGATTTATGGACCTATTTTTTTAATGGTACTGCGCAAAGGTATAGAGAAGAAATTATTGCTCCTTTTGTTAACCAGCTGGAAGAAAACGAAATTACAAACTTTTACTTTCAACAAGATGGCGCAAGGGCACATACGGCAGGTGAGACGATGAATATGTTGAGGAAAGTTTTCCAAAATCGACTAGAGTCTCAATGCTGAACATGAATTTCCACCGAGGTCATGTGATATTACGCCGTGTGATTTCTTTTTGTGGCCTTACCTTAAAAACACTATTTTTGAACTGCCTATTCCTGATTTAAACCATCTGCAGGCTCGACTTCTAGACAAGATTCGTGAAATTAACAATACCCCGAGCATCTTAGAAAATGTCTTTAATTCTTTGAGGAACAGGTGTGAAAAGTGCTTGGAACAAGGAGAGGGACACTTTTAGCAGCTGCTTTAATTTATCGTTATAACAAGGAGGGGGACACTTTCCGCAGCTCCTTTAATTGTTTGTTATTGTTATCACGATTATTCTTTAAAATAGTTATATAGTCATCAATGTTATTGAATTGAGAAATGAGGTTAAGTTGGTCGCTATAAGCTACTCCCTACGTCCAATGTGTCAGAGCCAACTTCGACCACGTTTTTATTTGAACGCTCGTTATTTTGATAATGAACCCATACAACTTTTAGGGGACAATTTCTATGCTTACATAGATAACTTTCATGAAAAAAATTCAAACAGAATTTGCTTGTTTATATAATTAGCCCCTTCTTTATATATCTATAGAGAATGTATAAGTATTTGTATTAAATATACGAGGGTCGATAAATATGTACGTAAAATAAGAAAGTGTTTGAAGACAGATGGTGTTATGGTTGTGTACTACCATCTGTCAAATGACACCATTCTAAGATTCAGGCTGATTCATAGATTAGTTTTTATTTGGCAGTCAGTTGTTGAAAAACATGTGAAGAAATAAAAGTGAAGTTGAAAGCTGTCTATGATAACTGTGAAATACTGGTCCAACGAATTTAAACAAGTTCATACATCTATTTTTGATTAGGAGCAGGCAGGCTGGGGCAGACTTGGTTAGTGAAGAAATCATTGAAAAGGTCCACAACATGATTCTCGCTGATAGACAAATTAAAATGTGCTAAGTAGTAGACGCCATAGGAACGGTCATCAATATTTTACATGACAAGTTAAGTGTGACAAAGGCGTCGACCCAATAGGTAAGCAAATACAGCTGTCAATGTCGAAGCAGTGTCTAGACCCCTTTAAGCAAAATTCTCAGGAGTTTTTGCATCAAATCGCCACTGTTGATGAGATCTGGATACATTATTATATGCCAGACACCAAGCGACATTCAAAACAACAGATTTTCTTAGGTGAATTTAATCCGAAGACGTAAAAGACCGTCCCATCGACGGGAAGGGTCATGACCACAATTTTTTGGATTCGAAGAGAATAATCCTCATGGACTTTTTGCAGAAAAGTAGAATGGTCACGGTACTACAGTGAATTAATTATTGGACCGATTCAATAAGAAATTGAAGAAAACACAGCCCCATCTGGCTAAGAAAAAAGTGCTGTTTAATCACGATAACACACCAACACATTCATTCCGAATTGTCGCAGACAAATTGCATGAACTATGCTACGAATTGGTGCCGCACCTACAGTAGTCCTCGACCTGGCTCCCTGCGCCTCAACATTAAAACATGGCTCGGAAGAAAAAAATCAGCTCAAACGAGAAAGTTACCACCAAGAAAGTATTTTGAAGAGTTTGACAAATTGTATTTCTTGGAGGGGTCGAAAAACTTGTATCTTCATTCCTAACACAGGTACTTATTGATCGACCCTTGTATATTTATGAATGTTGTTTATATGCATTCTGTTCATACTGAATTTATCTCAAAAACATACTCCTCTTACCTTGTTGAAGTCAACTGAATAAGAATAGCCAGGTCTCGTTAACAATCGGACTTCTCCAGCCCTCCTTAAGGAAACTACATATAAATGCTTTTCCAATGGCGTTTCCTTCAATCCCATAAAATAAACCAGTTGCTTCTCAGTGTCCACCCAGATATTCTGACTTAAAACTTCCCAATCTCCAGAAGTAAGAGCTACTTTTGATAGTATTTTGGGTTGTAAGAACACATAATCCATAGGTTCACTGCTTTCTGTTATGCCATTCATGTATGGCATAATTTGTGATGTTATTAAATACAAATGCCTAAATCCTGAATCCTCAGATGCCCAAATAAATTGCACCTCATTATTGTCTGATGAAGGTAAAAAATAAAGGAGATCATGGACATTAACCCATATATTTGATTTTTGCGAGTAAATAACTTGAACAATGGGACTACCAAGATGCAAGCTGCTTGAATCGTCATACATTGGAAGAACTTCCGTAAAATTACTAAGTGACAGTAAAACCACCTCTAGTCTTTGTTGACGCCTGTCTAATATTTGCACCCATATGCTGTAAGAAAATACTTTTACTCTTACAATGTTTTCGGTTAAAAAAATATACAGGGTGTATTTAACACTCCCGCTGCCCATATCTCCAAAATGAAGAAATTTATTTTAGTTCCGGAAACCGGGATTGTTAGGTCCCTCAAATAACTTCAAATTGCAGTTAGAATTGTTAGTTCAAATCTTTCTGTATAGTTTACGTGGCGATACTAAAAAATTTTTTTATTCCTGGAACGTGGAAATTGTTGTCCATCTGAAAGATAGTTAAATTTTAAGTAATTTTTGTAATATAAAGTTTTCGAAACTTGTCGACTTCAATATGCAATGTGGTAATGTAGCAGGAAAATCTATAATTTTATTTAAATCACAATGAGACCAAATGTTCGTTTAAAATAATATTATAATGGCTTTATTCACATCACATACTAACTAACAAACAATAAATTATAAAAAAACAAACGATCAACTACAGAAAAAAAGTTGTACAATAGTAAATCTTATAACTAGTATAGTTAAATTGAAAGACAAAAACTGATAAAACTGTAATTATTGGAAAAACTAATATGTGTCATCTGTCATATATATTTTATTTTAAAGAAATGTCTGAATTTTTTAATATTTGATAAAATACGGTTCGTCTCTGCCCCTTATAAGATCTACCAATGTAAAATTTTTTTCTGTGGTTGTTTGTTAGTTAGTATATGGCGTGAATAAAGCCATTATAAGAATATTTTAAAAGAATATTTTGTCTGTGTACTTTAAATAATATAATACACTTTCTTGTTACATCATACATTGCATATTGAAGTTGACATATCTCGAAAACAAGAAAATATTGGAAAAACCTTTATATTATAAAAATTACTCAAAATTTAACGATCTTTCAGATGGACTGCATTTCCTAGGAATCAAAAAAAAATTTTTAGTATTGCCACGTCATCTATACAGAAAGATTTGACCTAACAATTCTAACTCCAATTTGAACCTATTTGAGGGACCTAACAGTAACAACCCCAGTTTCTGAAACTAAAATAAATGTCTTCATTTCGGAGATATTGGCAGCGGGAGTGTTAAATGAAACACCCTGTATATTGATAGAATCAAGTTGTTACAAACTGCTTTGTTTCAACTTTGTCGAACATTATGTTCCAGTCCAGTTCATATTTTGTTTTTACATATAGACAATTAAAATACCTAGAACTACAAAGAAGTTTCACTTACTACTCAGAATTTGGTGTCCATCCTGCCCTAACAATATATTCCATCCATGGGAAGAGCATAGACAATGAAAACTGTAACTCTAACATAGAAATATCTACTATTTGTAAATGTTCATTTACTTTAAATTCTACCATTTTAAGATATGATTTTGAATTGGCACAACCCGCTCTAGGAAATCGAAACTCTTCCACCTCTCCAGAATCAGATTGAGATGACGGAAAACAGAAAATTTTCACATCCCCTTCGTCAACTTCTTCGTATAATATTCTATATTCTCCACCTAAGTAGTAAATAGTAACACTTGAACTATTTTTAAATAACTATAAAATATACGTATCATATATAGTATTTCTGACTGTGCTATTATATATGACTTTTAACATAATTTACCTATTTGACCTCAACCAATGCAACAATAAATAAAAATTAGCTGGTACTACAAGCTGGCACTAAAGCAATCAGAACAATTAATTTAAGTAATTATAATAGTAGTTTTTGTTGAAATAACATTAATTCACATCAAAAGGTTGATTCAAAGAAATGACCCTTGAAAATGTATACTATTACCTACTTCTCTAGTTGAGAAAAAATATCTAAGATAATGAAAAGAAAGATGAAAAATTCTTGTGAAACTATTAACATGATTTTACTAAATACAGTGTAAACTCTTTTTAACTAATCTTAAGGGACCGGGGATTATTTTTTCCTTATAAAGAGTTTTTGTTATATGGAGGGAAGAAGGAAAAATAACCAAATTTCACCAATTACAATAATTCTCAATTTTATTATGTACTTTCAATAGGTAATTAAATTATTCCAAACACATTATATTCTGTTAACTTTGCCTGATGTTTTTTGCTATGCCAATATTTGTTTTGTATTTTATCAGCATTACTTTTCTTTTCTCCTTTTTCTATCGCACGTATCAAACTTTTTCGTTAACACATAACGCTTTTCTTTTGCTGGCCACCTTGACAGATTCAAAGTAGGTTTACGACTGATAATACACAATAGGTGCCTAGTGCGTTTAGTAACTGAGTGCAAAATTTCCTAGAAATAATGTAATCCAAGAGTAATGGCACACGTGTTCGAGACAATTAGCAATAACAAAAGCAAGTTAGTTGTTTACAACCTGCCCAGATCCTTTTTTGCTTCCTACAGTACACTGTCTTTATAATTTATTTAAGTATTTTTAAATGTTCGTGTGATACCGGTTTGTAAGTAAAACATATTTATTTACTGGTCTATCTGGAGTTATATAAATTCAACCTTTTACCTCGTTTCATTCAATACAACAGTGGCGTATAAAAATCATAAACCATATTTTTATGCTTATGTGCATGTAATTTTCCTACATATATGTGAGGATAGAACAACTAAAGAAATAAAGAGCAAATATTGCATTGTAAGTCCCTACATAATTTTATCCATTTTTTTTATTCGACTATTACTAAAAGAATTATGATATTGAAATCTATATTAGTTTTTCAGGACAATTTTATAAATAAATAATACAAGATATGTGAATGTAGATCATTACATATTTTTTACTAGAAATCTCTAAAAATATAAAAACACTATTTTTAAATAAAAAAATCTTACTCTTCTAGTGTAAATTAATGGGCTGATACTACAGCTGGTAGAAAGTTATGGTAAAGCCGGGTCCAGACGGCAGGTTTTGCATAACGTTCTACCTGCGCAGTCATAAAATGGAATGAAAACTTGTCAAATTAAGAGCGTGCAGATATGTCTGTATTTTTATTTACTCAGTTTTCGCGGAATCGACCATAGACGAAGTACTGCTCTGGTCAATTTTTGCATGATGTCTTATAAGAAATAAACAAACATTTTTTTATAACTGTTTTTCTATTTGCTGTAGCTTCAACCTCTCTGAACTTTTCGACTCAAAATTTCATCGACACTTTTTGATTCTGTCACTATATTCCATTGATTTCACATGCCAAAAACACAGGAAACTTTTGTACAAATCAATAAATTCTGTTAGAAACATACGGGAACATTGGAGAAGGTCTGCCATTTTGCAACAATTTAGCTATGCAAACTGTATCACAAAACGGAGCGAATGTCTACACTTGTTCGTGCAGTTGGCGGATAATTATACTCATCGCCTCAGTTTTCCCGTGCAGTGTACCGTCAAAGCACAGTTTTCAAAACGGCATAGTTTTCCTGCCCACAAGCAATGTCTTGTCTGCAACGTCTTGAACTGTGCAGGTAAAACGTTGTGCAAAATCTAGCTTCTGGACCCAGCTTTACATTCAAAAAGCTGTCTATTTAATATCATTCATAAAAGCCTGAAGTCTGAACCAAATTATACAGTTTCATTTATGAGTCACTGGATTATTATTAAAACGTATTATATAATTTTTATTTTAAATAGATTATTTTTATTCTTAGCAAAAACTGTTGCAAATTATCATTTAACTCTTCATGAAATACATTTTTGTGGAACAATTTAATGTCTCTTTATGTTCCACAATATTTTGTTATTATATGAATAAAAAATAAACATCTTAAATCATTATCAATAATGTCAAAATTACTAAATACGAAGGATTGATTTTTATAGGCAACCAGTAATTTATTCATTTCGTCACCTTAAAACATAGTTTATTTAAAATGTACTGAATACCACTACCAATATTGTTTTACTAATAAAAGAATAAATATAAACACCACAAAACTGATTGCCTACTATTTCACAATCAGCCACGAGGTTAGGTTGAATCCCTGATAGAATGGTTTTAATTGACTGTTTTTTATTACTGCGACAATCTATCAAAAAATAGAATATGATTGAGATGAATTATCAATAACTATTTTCAATTGCTTTACCAATGTACCGAAGTTATTCAAATGAGAAAGTTAATGGTGTAACCATGACATAACACTCATTCTGGCAAATTTTGCCATGAGAAATCATTAATTAGGTACTACCACAATACCACATACCGAAGCTTGGTGGAGAGTAATTGGTAAACAACAAAAGGTGACACACAAACAATTCAAGAGAGGAAATTATGTTATTTGATTTATAAACTTTTCCGTTTTTGTTAACATTTCCGTTACTTAGGAAGTTAGCAACATGCTTATCTATGAACAACCATTCGTTGCCTTCAAGTGCAAATGGGAACAACGAAAATAAACAATACATCTCTATATTTTTTAAAATTTTATCTTTTAATTATGTAACAGTTTTTTTCATACATACAATAAATGATTTTTATTTATAATTTATTCTTCTAATAAAGTACTTTGTACACTGTCAAAGGTGATAAAAAAAAGTAATACTATTTTTTTGGCATATGGCAATCAGCTACTCGTGAGTTGCTTGTTGGAGTACTTCTCACATAATTTTATGCATTCCAGCACAAATGAGTGTGATGCTATTCTATTTCTCTTCCCTCCTGATCTCTGAAACACCAGCCAATTGTTTGGTGTTTGATTCTTGGGCTTATGCAGTTCAAACCAGTAAGTAAATCTTTCCAATTTTTATGTGCATACAATTTACATTGTTTCGTTATCAAAAATATTATTTATTTTTATTATCGATAGTGGTAATTAAAAAAAAAATGAAATTTAATTTTCAGGGCCAAAACAAGACGACTTGTAAGTGGGCAAACATGCGTTCCAGTGCAAGTATCTGAATTAAAAAGAGTGTTGTGTACCATGAGCTCGATTTTGTGCACCCAAATATACCTCTGATGTTGAAAATACCAAGTTTTCTCAATTATTGACACCAAATAGAAATAAATTTGAGAATAATCTGTTTATACTTTTACTTATAGACTGTTATTCATATTAGTGAAATCCGAAGCAAAATATGAAAATATATTTTGTTTTTATACCTATTTATATAACTAATTTCTTTGATATGTTGCGTAATCAATTAATCTGATGTAGGTAATTGTACATAATAGCACTGAAGTTGTTTCTACTTTGTATGTATTTTGATCTATTAAAAAGTTACAGAGTACTATTACTATTACTGTTAATTAGTGCTCTTGACCCATTAAATATATAATTTTAAATCCCAATCATTTGACTCTGGCACTAAATTTGCATAAATTTAGTTTACATATTATCAAATTACATACTTATCTATTAGTATTAGATACTAACCGATGCATTTGGGTTGCCACCAATATCCTTGGTATCTAGAAAATTCTTCCTGCATAACGTAAGATGGGATTCCAGCACTCAATGGGTCATCGGAAAGATTTCTGCCACCTTTATGGGCATAAGTTAACCTCACGTTTGACCCAGATACAGTATGGGTTACCCATATGTCATGATTGCAAATATATGCCACTAAGTCAGGATTGGAAGGACATATCTGTGAGTCAATTTTTGCTCCAGAAGATGTCATCCTTAATTTTGTAGGAAAGAGTTGTCCATTCTAAAAAATAAAAAAATATATATCGTCAACAGATGTCATTGGTTTTACTTGTTCTTTTACCGAATAACCACTGTCTATACATTGAAATAAACTACTCGCTGCAGGAAAGACTATTTTTCCAGCTTCGCTATGAATTTCGTAAGAGTTAATACCCCATGTTGTCAATCGTTTTCTTTCCCAAAGAAGTTGCTCTTCTCTAGAGTATTTATTCGAGGATGAAATACTGGGAAAATTAGATTCGATAACACATTGCCATTGCAATCTTAAACTGGTCGGTTGAGTAGTATTTGGTACATCCGCAAACAATAGTGTAGTTTCCCATCCATTCTGTGGCGTACTTAAAAAATATATCCTAGTTCTACCATCCTGTAGTGTCCTAAATGTAATCGAACTAGGAACCATTGTTGATAAACTGGACAGCTGTCTCCTTAAGTCACTGACGACTCCTTTTAATTCAGACCATGAAAGTTTCTTCTCACTATATTCTTTATCCATTCTTATTTTATATATTATTATATTATCACATCTGTTATTTAAATAAGCTGTTTTATAAATAGAAATCTACTATTTGATTTCATACTTAAAACTCATGTTTTACTTTTTATAAGTTATATTGGAATTTCATTTGGCAGATTGTAATTTATGTTTTTCTTTAAATATGTCGCTAATATTAACAATTCGTACAAACTTTTTCTTTTTGACCCAAATATAAAGCTAACCTTATTCGTTTGTTATATGAAGTTTCTCTTTTTTACTTTCAAAATTTAAAAATCCCCATATAACCAAAATATCAAGTATAAACAACAAAGCATTTAGGGAATTTATGTTTTGTATGATTCGACACTGGAGCACTGTTAAAGAAACTTTCCGTTCCGTTGAACATTGTCCAAAAACGAAAAACACTAGTATCACGGAAATGTAAATGAAACTGAAGGGATTCCTTTTTAAATGAATGTAGGAACAGGAATATCGAACGAATCATCTGAAAGACTAGGAAGAAGAGGAATATCTATCAACAATGTAGCCATATGAATGTGGCTGCCCGATACAGGATCACAGTAGTGATCCTAGATAAATGATACTATAGATAGGAAACTTGAACAGATTTCGTGGTCATTAACAGCGCTAACTGTTGACACTTTCTCCAACTTCTATTGCTTTCCTTTTCTAGGAATTATCGGTAATACAGTGAGTTAAAGCGCCATCTAGTTGTACGCTCTATAACTATATACCTACCTACTCAATAGCTTTGTTCGTAAACCTTCCACTGCTGTACTAGTGTAGTAATACGTTGTTCGTTTATTGCAGTGTAGCCAAGTACAGGTAAAATCCAGGTGTTCGTAAAGTCCAGTGTAGTGTAATAATGCAGACACTACTACACTGGCTAACAAGGTGGTGTAAAAGTGTAGTGTAGTATATTTGTGGCGCGAAAATGAAACTTTTATCACAAATGTCACATCTTGGTAGATATTTTAGATAGATCGTTAAAAATTTGGCAATATTTGATTTTACTCTGAAATGGCTGATAAATTCGTCTTCCTCACAGTTTCGAACAAGTTCTATAACATTTGTAATGCACTTTCTTTTATTTTTTTTGGAAACATGTCTCCAATAAAACATGAATTTTTCTTTTTTTACGAAGGTAATCATCATCTGATTCCGATTCGCTTCCAGAGTTACTAAATAATTCACTCATCACAAATATTTTCTCCATGATTTACAATTAGGTTATGCCAGTTTACCCAAATTGAATTAACGAACAGCCAAATGTTCTCTAAAAGTGGTGCACAATTATTATTTTAGTGTAACACTGAATTCCACTACACTACACTACACTACACGTTGTGTAGGTTTACGAACAAAGCTAATATTTGTTTTAGGTATTCTGCCGCCGCTAAATTTAAAATTACATAACAAATCTCACCCTACACAGATTACTCAGAAATTGATTTTGTAAAATAATTTTCACGTAGATAATTTTTTTTGTCACCATGAGAAAATAAGTACATTTGATAAAAAGCATTAACATCACTCAAGCATTAAAGACACTTTTAAATGCTCTAATAGTCTTCCTACTTAAAATAAGAAATAATTTTGATACTGTAACTTTTTAAAATGTTTGTTGAAAAAATTTCAAATTTCAGTACATATTTTGAAAAAAAAAGAGTGAAAATGATTATAGAGTTTCAGTGCTTTCTATATTGTATTAGCTTTCACGGCGAATAAAAAAATATTACAAGTAAATAATTTTACTAAACCAATCTTTGATTAATTCTTGTAATAGAGATTTATTATGCAACTTTAAATTTTTCGTTGTGTTGATATCCATAAAAAAAACTACCTACCTCTGATCACATTTTTTATTAAAAAAAAAACAAAACATTTTATTATTAATAAAAAAATGTGATTATATGATGATCAGACATTATTATGTTATATAAATAAATGTGAATGAAATATCTAATAAAACACACTAAAAACACAAATAAAACACACACCAGCACTCGCCAAACCTAACCAACAATAAACATAAACAACATGAATGACTTGAAATGATTCATAATTGCAATTGTCAAAATTTATTCTACAAAATCTTTGTTACGACATCTATAGACTCTTTCCCCAACTTGTATATCCATCTCAAGTCACGTGGTTCCCAGTGTCCCCATATTTTCAAGTATAAGTTCTCGGGCCCTGGTAGTGATGGGTCCAAGCCGCTATTTTTGTGTAGATTGCTTTTGCTACTGCTACACAAAAATAGCAGTTAAAATAGCTGCTATTTTAATAGCAGTTGCTTTTTTAGCATTATTCGACACGTAACAAATATAGATAAATAAAAACATATTTGTTTTTGCTTCAAAAGGTATTTCGTTTGTCTCAGTATCGATTACCTATCGGTGGCGAACTGTTTTAAAAAACACCCAACCAAAATAAACGAAGTCAACAATAATATCCACTCACGCCTCACGCTGTAAAAAACTCTCAAATTTCAAACCCAAACAAAAATGTCATAAATAGTAATAAGAAAGAATAATATCCGCTATTCACTCATCTCTACCTTTACGTTGTCGCCACATAAACAGATTTCTACGATTCGATTTTCCTGAACTGGCGTTATATCCCTGTTCGCATTTCGCAGTAAGCCTACATTAGAGAATTATAGCTTATAGCAGTAAGTAAATCGGAGTCGCAGTGATCGAAATAGTCGAAATCACCTAACACTTAACCTGACAATCAGCCAGCTCGGTCGCTCGGTCCGCGCCAGTCACCAGTCCGTCAGAAGAAAGGGCCCTAGCCGGCGGGGCCCAGCTAGACAAAAGGAGGTCCCACAAAGCGCCTACACCGGTCGCATTTGCAGTCGGGGTAGACGACGGATGAGGCCCATCTACGAAGGCTGTCCAGGCCTACACGAGATGAGGCAGGATAAAGAGNAAATTCACCTAACAAATTTCTCTTAAAAACTTAAATACTTATTTTTGAACGTTAAAGGAATCCAATTCTCTAGAGAATTTAATTTATGCCGTATGTCGAGGATATATTTCCAACTGACCAATCAGCGGGCAGAGTTTTCTTCAATCTTTCAGTGCCATTACTGGCGACCCTGATGTTTAGTCACTTGATTTGATTTTGAAGTTTTGAAGTGTTTTGTACATCTCCATGATATTCGTAGTAATTTAATATAACTTCAATTTGAATAGAAGTATATTTGAAAATACAAAAAATTTAATATTATTATAATTATGATGAAGCGTTCGTTCACGTCGAAAGCGCAAAAAAGAAATTAATATGCTTAGAAACAACGAAGATCTTTTTAAAATGAAAGTTTTCTTCTACTTTTACTCACAAAAAGGCCCAAGAAGAGTGGTCAGATATTGCTGAAACTTTAAATGGTTTAATTAATGTTGTCGCGGATGGTTTACAATTTCTGCAGCTTACAAATTATTCATTATATTTAGATTTAATAATAAATTATTTGGATCCACTACAAATTTCAAATTTCAAATGATTACGCACCTTCGAACAGCGAATTAATGAAGTGACAATTTGCGCGTGAGCATGAGATGACATTCGGATTCAAACTAATCGGAGAAAACGCCAATTCCCCGACAAAACCCTGTGGAATTATTTCTCTTGATATCTAGAGAAAATATTCCACAAGAAAATTTCAAAAATCACATTATCTGTGTGTCAAGAGAAAATGACGTAATTTTCTCTAATGAACTAACTCTCCTGTTTTCAAAAATCAAGCCCCAGTAGGGACAGTAGGCACAACTGTACTTTGCGCCAAAGCAATTTCAGAATTCTTAAGGTAACTTCATGTAGTAGCGATTTGCGAGTTGCGATTAACGATTTTACGATTTATGCGACAAAAATTTAACATTCGTTCATGCACGTACGCGAAAACTAGTTACTTTTAAATTTCTTGTGTTACTTGCCTTGCCATGCCATGCCACAGGACAGGAGGTCACAGTAAACAAAATTGAACAACATATAACACCTAAGCTCACAAAATATTTTTGTGATTAATGATTACATACGCAGGACATTAGACAAGGCCAAGACGTTCATAAATAAACATTCTGCAACGAAGAATGTGGTAAATAACAGTGATTATCATTATGTTATTTATTGTCAATAGCGTAGAAGATTTATAATAGCTTGGTATATTATAAGGAAAACAAAAAGCAGTTAGAAAAGATCTTGTGCCATGAGAGCATTATTTTAAAAAAGAAAGACCAGAGGCCTATTTTTTGAAAGTACTTTTCAACTTATTTTCACTTTTCATTTTATAAATGTAGAAAAGCGAACAATGTAAGAAAAATGTACTTTACATAAATGTTATCCGTTTTAAGAAGCTTCAGCAATTTATTTTCACTGTGCAGATCACCAACTGTTTTTTTGTATATTAATTTTGAAAACAGAAAATAGCCAGAAAAGTGAAAGTAGGGAGTGAAAAGTTGAAAAGTACTTGCAAAAACAGGCCCATAGGCGCTTATCATAATTTAGTAATGAAAATGATAATGATTTGATAATGAATGGTAATGACATGACACTAATAAAGTATTTTAATTAGTTGCGAACGACGGAACCGCACGGACTGCACATGCGCAGTTAGTCAAAATTATAGCGATAATCGCCAAAAATAGAAACTGTTTCTATTTTCCCGCTTCTATATTTAAATTTTGCGATTCTCGCAATATATTGAAATGAAGAAATTGATATCAAAAATATTTTATTTCAACCAATCAAATTGAAATCCGCAAATCGCAACTCGCAAATCGCTACTGCATGAACTTACCTTTATTAGGTTTCCCTTAGAGCATATACTACTGGAGGCAGTCGCCGCCGCCATTATTCCATGGCCAGAAATTGGTCTCAATGATTTGGGATCGAGAGGGATTATCCCTCTTTATCCTGGCTCATCTCGTGTAGGCCTGGACAGCCTTCGTAGGTGGGCCCCATCCGTCGTCTACCCCGACCGCAAATGCGGCCGGTGTAGGCGCTTTGTGGGACCTCCTTTTGTCCTGGCTGGGCCCCGCCGGCTAGGGCCCTTTCTTCTGGCGCTCTTCTTGCTTCGCCGGCTCGTCTGTGTAAACCCCGGGGGTAGTGTCATGTTTATGTGTGGTATGGTTGGGTAGGGTAGTGCGGCTATGCAGCCTGGGATGCGCTTTGCTAAGGTGGCCCTTAGGCTAGCGCGGGAGGGGAGGGGTAAGGAGGGTATGGGGGGTGTGTATGTGTGTGTGTGTGTGTGTGTCGTTGTCTTCGTTTCTTGATCCTGGCTGTCTCTGAAACAGAAAAGGTTAGCGGGCAGGGGGGGGGTCATTGGGGTGGTCACCCAGGGTCAAAAAGTTGGTGTCTAGGTCTTTTGTGTTTGTCGGTCACGTCGGGTACGTAGTCAACGGCTTGCCTGAGGAGGGGATTGTCATGTCTAGCGGCTACGTCAAATCGTTTCTCCGCGTTTTGTCTTATTGTCTGTGTAGCGTTTGTGTATTGTAAGTCTCGTAATATGTCAGTGTTTCTTACGTACCAGGGCGCGTCGGTGGCCGTGCGGAGGGCTATGTTTTCCACAGCCTGTAATGACTTTAAGTGGCTTTTTGCCGCGTGACCCCACGCCGTGGAGGCGTAGGTTAGCTGCGGTTGAAGTACCACCTTGATAAGCGTTCGCTTATTCCTTAAACTGAGGGTGTTTCCACCTTTGAGTAAGGGATAGAGCCTAGCCCTGGTGGTCTTACTAGAGGCAGTCAGTCTCTCTGGCCAAGAGTGTAGCGGAGGTTTAGAGAGGTATAGAAGGGTATGCTATATCTCTCTAGCAGCACGCGTTTGCCATGTTGCTAGAGAGAGATAGCAAATGCACTCCTATACTTCTCTCTCTCTCTAAACCTCCGCTACACTCTCGGCCACTGGGACACTGCCTCCAGTAGTATATGCTCTAAGGGTTTACCTTAGACACAGTATAGAAAACAGTAAATTAATTCCCCCTCTTTTGTGGACCACAACCCCACTGCTCTAAAGTCCAGTAAAGAGACGCGTGGTCTATGCGCAATAGCAAGCCCAGCCCCTAGTCCACCAACAAGCCTAACTTAGGTTTCAGCTTTTTGAGGTTCCCCTACTTGCGCGTGGGTAATATTATTATCTCTGTTCAATGTTTTGTGAATACTGGTTTTATATTACCCTAACCTGTTAATAACACATACTTAATTGTAATTGTCTAAAGCCCGGTACTTTGAGTTTCGGTTAAGGTTTCCCTACCCGCTGGAAAACGGCAAACATAATCCTTATCCCAAAACCCAACAAAGATCACACCATCCCATCCAACTACCGGCCCATTAGCCTGCTCCCGGCTATGAGCAAAGTGGTAGAAAAAATTATCCTAACCCGTCTAAGAACCCACTCCCAAGAACTGCAAGTCATTCCAGACGAGCAGTTCGCCTTCCGACCCAATCACTCCACTGAACTCCAAATCCTTCGCCTTACCGAGCACATCACGGCGGCCTTCAACAGGGGACAGTACACTGGTGCTGTCTTCCTGGACGTCGCAAAGGCCTTCGATACGGTTTGGCATGAAGGCCTACTGATGAAAATGCTCACCAACCAATATCCCATATCCTTTACCAAACTCATAAAATCCTACCTACACCACCGAAAATTCCGCATCCAAATCCAAGATTCCCTTTCCACCACCCGTCCCATGGAGGCCGGTGTCCCCCAGGGCACCGTCCTGTCCCCACACCTATACACCATTTACAACTCCGACATCCCACATCCCCCCAACACCAACATATACTTATACGCCGACGACCTGACAATCACATCCCAATCCGTAGATCCTAGATATTCCGTCTCCCTCCTCCAAAACTCCTTAGACCAACTTGAAACCTGGTGCAACAGGTGGAAAGTCAAAATTAATCCCAACAAAAGTTCGGCTATCCTTTTTACCAAACGAAAAATCCCACAAAACCTCGACAGACTGACACTATCCCAGGAACCTATCTCCTGGAATCGACAAACACGATACCTGGGCGTGACGATGGACCAGCGTCTCACGTGGAAACCGCACATCGTGGAGACGGTGGCGCGAGCGAAGACCACCAGGGCTAGGCTCTATCCCTTACTCAAAGGTGGAAACACCCTCAGTTTAAGGAATAAGCGAACGCTTATCAAGGTGGTACTTCAACCGCAGCTAACCTACGCCTCCACGGCGTGGGGTCACGCGGCAAAAAGCCACTTAAAGTCATTACAGGCTGTGGAAAACATAGCCCTCCGCACGGCCACCGACGCGCCCTGGTACGTAAGAAACACTGACATATTACGAGACTTACAATACACAAACGCTACACAGACAATAAGACAAAACGCGGAGAAACGATTTGACGTAGCCGCTAGACATGACAATCCCCTCCTCAGGCAAGCCGTTGACTACGTACCCGACGTGACCGACAAACACAAAAGACCTAGACACCAACTTTTTGACCCTGGGTGACCACCCCAATGACCCCCCCCCTGCCCGCTAACCTTTTCTGTTTCAGAGACAGCCAGGATCAAGAAACGAAGACAACGACACACACACACACACACACACACACCCCCCATACCCTCCTTAACCCTCCCCTCCCGCGCTAGCCTAAGGGCCACCTTAGCAAAGCGCATCCCAGGCTGCATAGCCGCACTACCCTACCCAACCATACCACACATAAACATGACACTACCCCCGGGGTTTACACAGACGAGCCGGCGAAGCAAGAAGAGCGCCAGAAGAAAGGGCCCTAGCCGGCGGGGCCCAGCCAGGACAAAAGGAGGTCCCACAAAGCGCCTACACCGGCCGCATTTGCGGTCGGGGTAGACGACGGATGGGGCCCACCTACGAAGGCTGTCCAGGCCTACACGAGATGAGGCAGGATAAAGAGGGATAATCCCCCTCGATCCCAAATCATTGAGGCCAATTTCTAGCCATAGAATAATGGCGGTTAAGGTTTGATACAATCAGGCGATTAGACTGTGATTATACTTTATAAAATAAATCAGTATATGTACTATCTAATCGCCTGATCAAAGACCCAGATCAAGTACCGGACCTAAATAGTAGAAATTCCAAATCGTAAGTGTGCATTGCAATATTGCAATGTCCACTAGTTGATGATCACTAGTTTCCAGGATTGTTCTCGCACTAAAAAATAATGTACAGTTCTTTCCAAAATTATAATTATAAAATTGTTATGTTAATTATTGTTGTTAGCTGTTGTTAACTTTATAAAATTGTTTATTAAAATGTTACAATTCTTCGAAAGCAGTAGTTAAGCTGTTATAAGTACTGCAAAAGTAAATTAAAATACGAAAAAAACGACTTTTTGAAATTTTATTTTGCCTTCAGGCCAAACGTACGTAAGTAGGTCATTTTAATTATTGTGACCTGAAATTTCTGATACTCTTACCTACAATATTTTACAGAAACATAAATATTTTTATTTCCTTGAGTGATAATATGGACTGTAAATTTTTTTGCTTACCGGAAAGATATTGCAATTTTAAGGTCCTCTGCAAAAAACTAGTATATAGTATCGCGATATATTTATATTTGGAAGTTCCGATGCATATAACTTTATTTCGATATAACACTGAAAAGTACTAATACATAAGAAATTAGTAAATAATCTACACATCGTTGTAAACATAATGATTACATCTAAAAATTATTTGTTCTTTATTTAAAACTTTGTACAGCATACCTTAAATTCAGTTTTAACTACGGCCCTGCTTTTTTGGAATCTCTAGTCACTGGTTGACGGAAGATTTCATCGTATGCCTATTCACCCTCCACGCCGCTAAATCTGGTAAATAATTTACAAGAGTGAATTGCCTAACCTTTGCTTTTAGTGACCTTGCTTGCGTTCGCTGGCTAATGTCATAACAACCTATTCCATCTTTCTTGTGAACTGGGAATGATAAGCTATTGTGTCTAAGTGAAGTTAGCGTCACTCCGAAATGGGAGTGATCTATTTTCACTCGTAACAGATTTTGACAGACTACTTTCATTCATAAAAACGTAAGCTATCACTAGTGTTCTCTTTATACTGTGGCCTGTGGCTTAGTGCTGAGTATTCGTTGAACCAGCGGGTGTGACGTTACCGCATGGGAAACCGCTGCCGCATGCTTGCGTGTGTTGTCAGTCAGTCGGGTAGTCGGGTCGGGTTTCAGTTGCCTGTTTACTGACTGAGTATGTTAAGATACCGAATTTTGTTAGCAATATGGAAGACCCAGAACAAAAAAAAAATTACAAATATTGTATTGTTCCCCAGTGTGAGAACACTAGTGTGAAGACACCTAAGAAAATATTTATTAGCCTTCCGCGAAACGTGGAAAGAAATAAGCAATGGCAGAAGGCTATGAAAAGGAAGAATATGCTTAGCGTAAAGTCGACATATTTTGTCTGCGAAGATCATTTTAATGTGAGTATTTATTGTACTGTGACCCATTTAAGCCAATCAATAAAGCATTATTAAATCAGTGATTTTGTGACAAAAATACTCCTTTTAGTAGCAAACGGTATGTGTCATTATATAAAAGACACATGCTTATGTTTCCTATTCCAATTTACCATTAATTAATTTTTTATAAACATTTTTATTCATTTTTTTTAGTTTTTTTTTGCTTATAAAACCTAACTAACGAATCAGTCTGAATGCTATAAAGAGACAATTTGTAGAGAACCGAAATACGAATAAAACGGGAGGTCGCTTGATCCGATGGCATAATTAGAAACGAAAAAAAAACCGGAAAAATAGGAAAATTTAGTATTTAAAAAAAAATCATTACTCCACCATTTTTTAAATTGTAAAGCTGACCATGTGCCCAAAAGTAGTGAATTATACGTAATTTAAGTGTACACAAAGCAGGCGCTGTCGGACCATTAGTTTTGGCACAATTGCAATTTGAATTTTTTGGTGCACTATTTTGCAAAGTTTTTGGATGCGTTGGAGGTGATCCGATTTTAATTTTTCAGTCGGATTTTCAAAGTAGAAGTTTAACACTACAAAACGTATATTATAATTTTCCAATAAAATGATGCGAAATAGGTGAAAAATTGCTTTAAACATACTCAAAAACGGCAGAGCGCGCTTACGCGGTCGAGTAGTGGGCAATGTAGTCGGGAGATGAGGGACAATGGATATAAGTATGGCTATACAATTTTGATTATTGTTAGTTATAATATAGTTTAATATTATTGTAAGTGGTGATATATACAAAATGTAATAAAATTTTCTTAACGAAGACACCTAAATATGTATGTATACTTTAATTTGGAAGAGAAAAGTACATTTTGTAAGAAAACTTTTAAATTCACGTTTGATGCCAAGATTTCGCGTAAATGTCAAAAAATGCAGAAACAAAACAAGGAATGTCCACAGGTTCCATCATTGTGATTCCGTGTATTGGTATTATTTATTATGTATCACCACTTACAATAATATTAAATTATTATTATAATTATAATAACTAACAATAATCAAAATTGTATGCCTATACAGGGTGGTCGCGACGTAATGGACCAAAATTCATGGGTAGATTCCCCAAGTAAAAATATTGCGATTTAGCCGAACTTACCTTAGTCCAAAAGTTGATAGTTAAAGAGATATAGGGTGTTAAATGTAAAATATTATTTCAGTTTTTTTTAATTTATTCCTTAACAAATGCAAATATCCTCACAAAATTTTGGGGATTGGAGTTCGTTGAGTAGAGGAATTGAAATCTGTTCACATTTTGGTTAAAGTTCATAGAGGGCCCTAGCTGCAGTAGAGTGAATGTGTTAAAAACGACATAACTGTATATCCACTGCCCCTCATCCCTCATCTCCCAACCTTCCCCCACTACGAGCGCTTGTTTTAAAACATGTTTGGAGGAATTTTATCGAAACATTAGAATATACTTTTTGTAGTATTATACTTCTACTTTTAAAATCTGGCTGAAAAATTAAAATGGGAGGGACCACCTACAAAGCATCCAGAAACTTTGCAAAATTCGTATTTCAATTCTCTACAAATTGTCTCTTTATAGCATTCAGATTGCTTCGTTAGTTTAGGTTTTATAAGCAAAAAGACTAAAAAATGCGTTCCTTTGAATAAAAATGTAAATAAATGTAAATGTATGTAAATAATTGGAGTAGGAAACATATAAGCATGTATCTACAGACTATCTTTTATATGATGGCACAGTCCGTTCGTTACTAGTATTTTTGTCACCAAAAAAAACCTCTATGGATTGACATAATTTAAATGTTTTTAATACTTTTCAAAATCTGAAACAAAAATAACCTAAAGGGAATTTCATATAGTTGTTTTTTATTGTTTAACTGGAAATAAATACTCATAGTTACAAAAATATTTTTTCTACGCTTGCTAAGAAAAGTGCACTCTTTTCATCAAAATGCGTTTCTAAAGAACGTATTTAGCTAACGACATGAAAAATTTACATCTTTTTCTCACATTGTCAATTTGCATTACAAAAAGTGGTTGCTATGGATTTATTTATTTTATTGTTGCGAGTTCTGGATTTTAAAGTTGTTTATGTAAGGAGCGTAGAAAATATATTGTATACAAACTCGTGCATAAATAACTATTATTTTTAGCTCGAAACTGATATGGAAAATTATAGATATTTTAAATTAATGGACAATGTTGCAATAAAGATAAGATCTGATGTCGTCCCCCATATTTTTGATTGTCAAAAAACACGAACTGCAGCACATGGTACCCAATCTCAAGAAGTATTTCTAAGAAGACAGCACCAAGCCGTCCTTGAGGAAATAGAGAATCAGCCAAATACTTCCAAGAAGAGTCGAAATGAAAATAACAATATCTCCGATGAGCAGTATCACACTGAATTGATAAGAAACCAAGACCATTTAGGTGCTAAAGCCACAAACAAAGGATGCCACAAAAAAATTCAAGTAAATATCAAACGTAGTATGCTAACAAAGCAAACTCAATGTGATTTACATATATCGTTCGAAAGAGCTCCCTCAAAAAAATAAACTTGTTTTATAGATTGCTTTGAAATTTCCATTCAAAAACCAAGTAATCCAGTTTTACATAGTTTGTCTTGGTCAGAATACAAAAAAGCTAACACAATGAAATATTTAGTGGCCAGGGCTTCGATTCTTTGAAATCTTCAAAATCCGTATTCTTGACTCCCTTCGAATCGAATATGTTGTATTCGCATGCGAATAAATTCGAATAATATACATCGAGCGGCATCTACCGATCGAATAAGCAAAAAATCATACAAATGTTTATTGTAACCTCACTTTTATGGTTGCGTTGTTGTGTTGTTTACGAAGATTAAAACTGTCATTCGTATATTTTGTGGGTTTCATTTAACTTTCCTGCGTGTTAGGTTGTCCTGCTACAAAAAAATGGCATTCTTTATATCAATGTACTCCTAAATTTATTTTTGCTATGCAGTAGACTTCCACAATTATTTTCTATATATCACTATTTTGTGCTTAATTAAGAAATAGTTACATTACAGTACAAATACGCTACTTTTTCAATAATTTTTTTTAGGTATTTTAATAAAAAAATTCTTATATAAAATGTACAACATTTACGTTACTTTTTTAATATACATATTTTCCTTATAAAGAACACAATTCATTTTTGCAATCCTGACAAAAAATGTCTTTATTTCCATTGAAAAAAATATATTCTTGTAAATTTAACAATGTAAAATTGTTATCTAAAATAGTTCCGTAATTTGTGAAACTCCGCCATTATTCCATGGCTAGAAATTGGCCTCAATGATTTGGGATCGAGGGGGATTATCCCTCTTTATCCTGCCTCATCTCGTGTAGGCCTGGACAGCCTTCGTAGGTGGGCCCCATCCGTCGTCTACCCCGACCGCAAATGGGGCCGGTGTAGGCGCTTTGTGGGACCTCCTTTTGTCCTGGCTGGGCCCCGCCGGCTAGGGCCCTTTCTTCTGGCGCTCTTCTTGCTTCGCCGGCTCGTCTGTGTAAACCCCGGGGGTGGTGTCATGTTTATGGTTGTGAAGGGTGGTGCGGCTATGCAGCCTGGGATGCGCTTTGCTAAGGTGGCCCTTAGGCTAGCGCGGGAAGGGAGAGGTAAGGAGGGTATGGGGGGTGTGTATGTGTGTGTGTGTGTCGTTGTCTTCGTTTCTTGATCCTGGCGGCCTCTGAAACAAAAGGTTAGCGGGCAGGGGGGGGGGGATTTGTGAAACTAACCACAGAACAAAATGATTCTGCTCTGTGTTCTCTGTGGTCAAAACCTGCGCGAATGCGACATTTCCAAACTTTTACCAATGACTTTTCAAAGCACTATTCGAAGGGTCCTCGAGAATATGAAATTGCATTATCATTCGAATATTTGATCATAGCATAACATTCGAATTCGTTCGCATACGAGTGTATTCGAACAAAATTTCAAGAATAAGGGCTCTGTACACCTGACGGTTTGATTTCATTTGTATTTATAGGGTATAAAGGACATAAGAGTGATAAAACCATTGTAGATGAATCAGGATATCTTAAGCTTTTAGAAAATGGAGCACATGTAATAACCGTCGGTCAGAGGCTTTAAGCACATTGACGAAATGTTATTGACCAAGAATAATGCATTAGTTCGACCGCCTTCAGTTTCTTCTAAATAAAAATGTACTAAAGAAGAAGTACAACGAGCAAAACGAATAGCAAGCCTTATAATCCACGTTGAAAGAATAATTTTAAGACTTCGGGAATTTAAAATTTTGTAAATAAATGTAAACGTACTTTGCATTTTCATTCCTCTCACTTCAGGACTGATAATGTCGTGATTTTTATTAAAGAAATCCATAACCATTAACAAACCTACTTCTGGCAAATTAGAAGAATCTGCATTTACGAAATTTACTTCCATTTTTTAAATTTAATATGTACAAACGCTAAAACATTTATGTGGTAGGTATATGGTTCTATAGGCTGCAGATGCAGAAACGCATCTAGAAGTAACGTACACGCGCCTAACTGCCCCTGTCCCATGTGGCGACGTCATTGCATTGCCACGGCTTGAGACAAATATTCGCATTTTAAAAATCGTATAGGTCGATTGACAACAACTCAACAGATTGAGTTGATGGCCTAATCATGAGCAATACTTGTGTATACAAAATAAGAACAATTTTTAAAATTTACTGAATGACCCCATTCCCGAGATAACTTTTGTACTACATGAATAATCCTATAGAAAATAGGAACATTGTCCAGCATGAATAGGAGCTTATTATCAAAGTACATTGAACATAGATATAGAATACGGAAAAGGGTGGGAAATTTAAATAGTCATGGATATACAAGGGTCAGAAGGCTGAAAGCAATAACTTGTGATACTCTCCTATTTGGGAGTGAGGTTATTTTCAGTTAAAATAATATGCTGAAATAATTTGGCTAGCGGATTTCATTCACAAGTTAACTTGCTGACACTACTTATCTATCTAGCTAGACTATGCAAAAATATACTGACAAAATAGGCTGCATTTTAAGGAAGCGCAATTATCCACAACACCTCTAGGAAGATTGGGCCTTTCCCAAGACGATCTACTTCAGGGTCTCGGTGTATACAGCATTCCCATACAGGGCTGGAAAATCCACATGGTCCATCTGCCTTTACATGAGAGCGACAAAGTAAAAGAAATCCGTGCGATAGACAAGAATGGCTATAGTGAAGACGTTTCATAATCTGAATAGTTACCGCCCGTCTCGGGTTAGAAGTGGGAGTGACTATTCAGATTATGAAACGTCTTCAATGTAACCATCCTTGTCTATCGCACGGATTTCTATGACTTACTTCATCGTTCTCACGTAACGGCCGATGTACCATGGGGACTTTCCGAACCTGTATATGAGGAAAGTATACGTTACACAAACGCGAGGACACATTACAAGATTAAAGGAGCAGAAGTATCACTTGAAGAATAATAACGTAATAAACAGAACACGTTATAGAAGGATTCTCTTACAAGAAGGTAACAGAAATCCAGAAGAGTCGAGATAGTTTCTATCGAAAGGTGTTAAAACTACAGGTGAAATTTGGAACATGAGAGAAAGAAACGTCACCACATTTACAGTTAAATAAAAAGGTTTCAGGTTTTATGAGATGAATAAGTATTAATAAGTTGGAAGAAAATTGACAATGAGGTATGTAAAAATAAACAAATTAATTTAGGATATAGAAAATGAGTAAAGAAAATAAATTTATCCTGACTTATGGCTGTTTTACATTGACAAATTATTCATGAATAACTTCATGAAGTTCGTGATTTAATTCAGAAATTTATTCATAAAGAGTTTGGTTTTACGCTGCTACAGACTTCGTGAATTTCTTTGACACATAAATCAGTACTACCAATAAATCAACTAGCAAATAAATTTCAAATTTCACTAAAAAAATATCTTGCCCATACAACAGCGATACCGTTTTGATACTGTTTTTAAATATTAGTTTTTGTAAGCAACAGATCAGTAAAAACAATACAAAAGTAGTACGACGCCACACAGTTATTTATATATGCCAATAACATAACCTAATCTACTAATCTGAGGCTGAAGATTTGTTGGGTTGGCACCTTTGAAGTTTACGAAGAAAATCACAAAAATTAGATGTTCTAATTTCACAGCATATTTGGTGCATTATACTTTGTCTTTACGAAGCGACTTCATGAATTAATTCATGAATAAATTCGCAATGTGAACAGCTATTAGAAGTATTGTATGGATAATGAATGTCCAATAAATGACTTACAATTCATGTGAAGTTATCACTTCGCATATCTTTCCACAGATTCTCAGAGTGAAAATAGAAGGATTAACTACTTACCTCTAAATAGGGTTCGCTTCAGTCAACAAATAATGTAGTTGTTCCAAATAACATACTTTGATTTAAATGAAATTTGTTATCGCACTGCTTTTATACAGAGGCGGTTTTTAACATGACAACCGAACTAGGATGTTTACAAAAAGAAAAAAATATCCACCTCTCAAAAATTAAATAATATTTTTGGGCATTAAAAATTATTTGTTTTAACTTTGTGTTAGGTTTCTATATAGCGATAAATTTGTAGAAGTACCTATTAAATTAGTAAGTAGAAAGATACTACAATATACAAGTTCTTAAAATATGTTTCAAATTTTTACAATAAATTTTTTAGATTTTGCGAATAGTAATTAGTTAGGAAGTTTCTTTGACTCGGTGACCTGGCAAGTGATATAAATAAATAATATTATATGGCAGGTACATCTAGGCAGATATGCACAAAATACGTGTTTTTATAAAAATGTATAAATATTATATTTGTTACTTAAAAATAGTTCTAATACACATGTATTATGTACAAAAATTTTAAAAAATATATTTAGTTTTTATAATATTTTCAGTATAACTATTGATGCTAACAATGAGAAGATCATCGACTTCAGATGATATGTGTTGTTTGAACTAGATGGAGGTGGATTGGCAGGATCATCTGAAACAAAATAAAAAATAAAAAACTATCCAACATCCTTTTATTAATATAGTGTACAACACATAATACCCAATTGTAGGATACAGAAGTTAGTAAAAAGACAGAAAGAAATACCTATACAGAGTGTTAAAAAAAGAGTGTAAAATATTTCAGGAGGTATGAACCAAAATAAGCAGAAAAGTTTTAATAAACACGGGTCCGCAAAGTAACGGTTGCGGAGATATGGACCACTATTCGTTTTTCTAACATTTTATTTTATTAGGAATAAACCGACAAAGTAAGCTTTTAACAAACAAAAAACAAAGTTACAGAAGATATTCAAAGTGCCCTCTGTCCATTTCCAAGCAGGCACGACATCTTCGTCTCAACGATATTCGAACTCTTTCGAAAACACTAATGTCTTCAAATATCCCCAAACAAAGAAATCTAGAGGGTTCAGATCAGGCGATCTTGGAGGCCATAAAACAGGTCCAGCCCTTCCTACCCATCTACGTGGAAAAGTTTGGTGTAAATGCTCTCTAACGGCCATGGAAAAATGAGCTGGAGCACAATCATGCAGGAACCACATTTGTTGCCTCTGATTCAAAGAAATGTCTTCCAAAAACTCATACAGTGTGTTCTGCAGAAAGTTGAGGTAAGCAGCGCCTGTTAATCGGTTTGGTAAAACAATAGGACCTAGAAACCTGTCACCTACAATACCCATCCAAATGTTTAATGAAAAACGTGCCTGATGTCCAGATTCTATTAGAGCATGAGGATTTTCGTCGGCCCAAATATGCGTATTGTGAAAATTAAACACTCCATTTCTTGTGAACCGGGCCTCATCAGTAAAAAAAATGTTTGCAAGAAAACGAGGGTCTTCAGCATCATGACGTAGAAACCAGCGTCAAAAAACCAAACGTGCTTGATGATCATTTATTGGATTTAAGGCCTGTACTCGTTGCACATGGTATGGATGAAGCAGTTGCTCGTGAAGGATTCTCCAAACAAGAGGACCACTAATTCTTACCTTCTGCTCTACCAGTGCTAGAATTTCTTCTTCTGCTCTAGGAGTGGATACCGACCTTGGTCTTCCGGATAAATGGCACTGTTTGCTCAAGGAACCGGTATCACGCAATCTTTGGTGAATTCTTCCAAACATGCGTTGTGAAGGAATCTGGCGATTTGGATAAGCGTCAACATAAAGACGTCTCGCTTCGATGGCGTTCCCATTAGCACGACCATACATGAAATGCATGTCTGTTAATTCTGCATTAGAGTAACCAGCCATAGCGAAAGAAAACTTATGCACTGAGAATAACTGTCAAATACGTACTGTTTATTTCATTAAACATCAACCAACTATTATAAGAAAATACACAACGTTTTTGCAAAATAAAAAAAGGGGCAAAAAACATAAAACATTCCATATCTCCGCAACCGTTACTTTGCGGACCCATGTTTATTGAGACTTTTCTGCTTATTTTGGTTCATACTATTACCTCCTTAAATATTTTACACTCTTTTTTTTAACACCCTGTATATTAATTATAAACAAAACTGAAAAAAGCATCATAATGAGGAAGTAATAAAGAAGTGTTGTCACACACATGAAGTTCTTCAATTTTGCGTTCTTAATGTGATAGTTGTTTTAAATATTACTTAGAGCCTATGAACTTTTTTAGTAGCTTAAAGCACTTAAAAACGCATTGCAAAAGAATTACTTTGCAATTTAACCCCATCTTAAAAATGGAATGATGCAATACAATTTTTTAATTTGATAAAAAAGCTTGAATAAGTTTTGATTTTAAAATTCGGATCAGTATTTATCGTTTCCCTGTCATTGACAATATTAGATAATACCTACGTATAATCTTACTCTTAGCTACTAGGTATCAAAAGGAAGTGCATAGACATAGATCGATAAAAAAGAATCCAATTTAATTATTTAATTTGAAATTTTCATTTGGAAAAATTGTCTTAAAACAATTATACACGATACTCTTTGACTGGAAATTAAATTTTTTCTTTTATTTTTCACTTCTGTTGATTTAATTTAATAAGAAATTGCACTGAAAATGCACAGGACGATACACTTATGAAGAAGCACTCCTTCGTAACTGCAAAACAAGTATGAACTGCACGCTGCTACAGTGAATGCAACGCCGCCTACATCGGGTGTCGAATGCGATTAATTCCAAGAAAGTGACGCAGGGGACTTCTTGGAATCCATTTTAAACAAATATAGTCCCGACTGTACGTATTATAAAACTTGAACACAGTTTACACACAAGTAATACGTTTTCGCATAATTAAAAGAAATCCTGAAAATTCTGCTCTGGGTCTTATGAGAACCGGATCGCATTTAGTGTATCTATATAATAGGCTATATGCTTGTATATCTTAATTACTATATTTATGTTGGTATTTTTTGTATAGACGTAAGATATATCAATTTACTAATTATGACTATATAACTTATAATTGTTTCTACTGTTTCAGTATTTTTATCAAAATTAATCGTCAAACAGCTTTTACTACTATTTTATGCCATATAATTCAATAATAAACAATAAACATATTATTATATTCTGTAAGGCAATAAATGTGCAATTTTAAATAACTTATAGTTAACGTAGGTACTAGCAGTTAGAATATTTATACAATACAAAATACAACTGAAAATAAAACAAAATATTTTATATGTAGAGTGTGCTAATTTGGAAAAGGTGTTGAAAGGTAATTTATTAATACGGTATCAATAATATCGATAATAAAAAAATGGCTCAAGATTTTAGGTCTTTGGTAGGTATATTCCGATCCTGTTGGAATGCAGTAATGTATATGGAAAAGTGAAAACAACATTCTTGCACAATGATTGATATTAATAATATTACAGGTTTAGGCACCATAATGTACCTTAAAGAGATGAGAAGTAGATCCTAAATCAGGATGTATGTATAATTTGACTTTTACTACAGATTTTCCGAAAATACGAGAGACATGTAGAATTTTTTATCTATTTGCGAACAAAAGATCCAGCTACATATACCTATCTTGGATTTAGCTCCAACTGATTTTCATTTGTTTAAAAATCTTAAGCACTTGTTGATTGAACATTAATTGCAATCAGTAGTTGTGTGAACAGATGAGTTAATTGTACAAATACAAAATACAAAAATTTGTTTCACATTACGAAACATATTTAGCTATAGGTGTGACTATGTAGTTCATAACATTTACTAATAAACATTTATTTTTAATTGGTAATTTCTGTTTAAAAGTAAAACAGGTATTAGATTCGGTAGGTATGATCCTGATCTATATTCTAGTCTAGATTGTTAGCTAAACTTGTTATGCTTATAGTTTGTAAGAATTGATTCTGACTGTTCCTATACAATTGTATCGTCTATTGGATAATAAATATTATTATATTGTTATTAGATATTATTATAAACTCATTTAGATACTTACATATGCATCTCCGGCTGCGGTATGGCTTATGACCAGGCCGACACGAACAATTTCGTCCTATACAAGCAATTTTATCCTCGCAATCTGCTCCACAGTAGCACTGATGATCATGCTCACAGATGTCATGTAGATCTGAAATTTATTTAATTAGCAAATATAGGTATAGTGTCTACAAACTGTACCTATTATTACTGTTTTATATTTAAAATTTAATATTTAGTTTGAAGCTTGATATTCGAGTTTCTTTATTATAAAGTTTAAGAAGATCGACTCAATTTGTCCAGATCACATAGTCCGTTTTTACATAGTCGATAGCGGTTCATATTGCCATTTATATTTAAAAGTTGCTAGGTTATAAGTTTAAGTAACAACGAAAATTTATATTTTAATTTAAAATTAAATCGGTTTCTTATATCGTATACACAAAATACGTGAGCGTGAGACTTTTTCGTGTTACTATAATATGTCATAAAAGGTACCAGGTAATCAGCTTTCACCAAGACAAACTTAAAGTTAATTACTGTAATTACGTATTATTAATAGCAAATTATTTATTTAGTTCCGTCAAAGAATTTGAGGGTAGAGGTTATAATCTGTTTAAGATAATTTAGTTGCTTTTAAGTCACTGAATATTTTTTTGTTTTATACTATCTATATTCTATCAACTATTTTCTTAAGATAGTGAGACTTCAAAATATATGCTAGTACTACGAGGATTTATTCAGTTTAAGTTTCTGTATTGCAATGTTAAATATATTAAATATTACAACGTCTTAGTGAACACAAACAAACCAACTTGTACTTCCGGTAAAACCAGAAGAATTATTATACCGCAAGTACTCAAAAGCAAACTGATGAAGAATAAACAACTATAATTAATAGATTTGGCGTTATCAATTTCACTGCGGGTGGTTCTAGTAAACTATTTAATTAGCTCATTATAAGTTACGGTTGAGCTAATCTCTTAAAATATGCAGTGCCTTGTTTTGGTTTCATTGCAACGGATTCGAATTTCAACGCAAAAACTGTATGTAGGAGAAAAAAAGAAATACATCCATTAAGCGAATACAAATAACAATAGAAGAAATCCTAAGAGATCATTTGGAATAACATCCAAATTGAAGAGACAAAACTACCCCTTTTTGGAGAAATGTGGATTTGGTAACTTAAGGCAATCGAAACCAGTCATGGCTGCTTCTTACACCTGAATAGAATGTGGTAACACTTGAATAAATCTGCGCATGAGCATGAAAATAAGGAACTTGAAGGAAACAGTAAACTCATAATTTTACTGTTTGCAAACTGACGCAAATAATCTAGTAAGATTAATTTATTTCTGGTTAATGAGACTTTAATTTAAAAGTCAAATACGAGGTCTCTTCAGAAAATAACCAAACTTAATTTTTTTAAAGTTTATTAATTAGATTCTTTATTGATCCTTGTCTTCTTTAAAGCACTTTTCTCCCCTATTCACACACTTTTTCCATTTCGCAGTCCTAGATAGCTTAAGTTGAAATGGCCTTTAAAGTCTGTGACGAATTTGCTTTGATGTTGTCAATAGTCTGAAAACGGCGTCCTTTCAGCATTAATTTTAATTTCGGATATAAGAAAAAATCGCAAGGAGCCAGGTCGGGCGAGTAAGGAGGGTGAGGGAGGACAGTAATCTGATTTTAGGCACAAAATTGATGTATTGACAAAGCTAAGTGTGCGGGCGCATTGCCTTGGTGCAAGAAACATGAGTTGTCTCGCCTTGACTGATCCCTTTTTGCGGATTTTGTGGATTTTTTTCACGTAACTGTTGGTTTTCTGTGTGATCTCGAGGCACAAATTCAAAATGCACAATTTCCATTAAAGTCAAAAAAAAGTAGTGAGCATTACTTTGTCATTGGATCGAGACTGACGTGCTTTCTTGAAGCGTGGAGATCCTTTGCCAGTACCTTGTAATGATTGACCTTTTGTCCCGATGTCGTAAATCCAGCTTTTGTCTCCCGTTATGATCCTTTGAATGAATGTTTCATCGTCATTGAATTCTTCAAGGTGTTGCCGACAAACGTCTACAAAATTTTATTTCTGTTGTTCAGTCATCAAACGAGGAACAAATTTTGCTGCAACTAGATGCATGTTCAATTTTCAGTCAAAATTTCATGGCATGACTCAATTGAGATGCTAACCCTTTCTAAAATTTCTCCGACAGTCAATCGGCGATTTACACGAACCAGATCTTTGACTTTCTGAACATGGGAGTCATCAGCTGAAGTCGAAGGCCTTCCTGATCGAGGATCGTCTTCAATTGATGGATGACTACTTTTAAATCGTGAAAACCATTCGTAACATTATATACGACCCAAAGCATTATCTCCGTAGACTTGTTTGAAATGTTTCTCCAGTTTCCAAAATTTTACGTTGCATCGTTGTTCCAGAAAATTGCACATTTCAAAAATTGTCACGAACACTTAAACACGTTGCACTCAATCAACAATATTGACAAAACTAAATGAGATATCAGCATTCAAAGAACATGTGATAACAAAGGAGGTTATGTTGCCAACCGCATATCATTAAAAATCTTCATTAGTACGTAATTAAAAAAAATCAGTTATTTTCTGAACGGACCTCGTATAATGAATCGTTATATCAGTATTTATATACCCCTGATGGAAATTGTGAATATTATAATTATGTATTATTCGTGCATTAGGTATCTACGCATAATGCCCGGATATTACGTGGCGATTAGGGAACTCGGACTGAGTGACAAATGTTTGTAAATTTATTGTCTGGATTGAGTAATATGCATGTTATTAAATTACTTTTGTGCATTGTTATCTGACATAACCCAACCTTGTCAAAGTTTATTTGAATGTAATAACATTAAAAATTATATTACCTATTTGTTGTACGAGTATTGTACAATAATGTCAATATAAAAAATTTGCAAATATTTATTTATTTGCCAGTGGGTCTATTGATAATGGACATTACAAATACTTAGCGGTAAAGGTAAGCCTAACATTAATTACTTTCAAATAATGAATAACAAGGTAGTGGAAAATAATTAAATTTAAATTTGAAAAATATATTCCAAACTATAATGCAATATTCAACATATATAAACTAAAGCAGTTTTTAATTTAAAGGAAGTTTGTCGTCGCTTTTGAATTTTTGCTTTTTTTAGCAAGCCTGTGAACCGAATTTATAAGTTTGACTTTGACGTCATCTGAATATGAAACTTGAAAATGGAATTCTAAATAAATAGAGAATTCATAGTCCATAACACTCTTCGCTGAAATGATGAATATAAAGCTTCTTAAAAATAACAGGAATATTTTTGTAAAATGTAAATATTAGAAACCAAAGAAATGTGCAACATGTTCATTTCAGCGTTTTATAATCCTAGATTAAATCAGAAACTCGCTGCTTTACATTTAAATGAAGCCGACCAGTATTTTTATGTCTGCTCATTGCGATTTATTCTGGTACTAATTGCAACCATTAAGGAATGTTCGTTGTTAAATGAATGTGCGTTCTAGACGACGCCTATATTTCACATTTTTTCTGTGACATCAGTAGAACTCGCAAATAACTCTTTTCTGTCAAGCTTAAATGTACTTATCTATATAGGGTGTTACAGAATGACTTTTTAAACACTTGGAATATTGTAGAGGGCAAAATTCGGAACATTTTGCTATATGAAACATATAGCCGGAAATATGCAATAAAGTTTCTATACATTCGGTAGGCTAAATGAAATAGCAGAATACTGTAGTTTGGAAAACGTTTATTGACAAAACGGTAGAGTAAAATCGAATACTGTAACCCAAATCTACCAACTTCACTACTTTAGAGTAGGTGTATGTTCAATGTGACAACCACCAACTTCGTTGCATAATGTGTAACGACGAACCATGTTTTGTAAGATTCTTTGTCAGATTTCATGCTCCCCTCTGATAGTATCAAACGCTGTAAAGATGCGCTGAATAAGCTTAGGTACTGTTCCTACTGGTGTTGAGTACACAAGCGATTTTACATAACCCAGAGGAAAAAGTCAAGAGGGATGAAGTCACTGAGCATCCTCTTCCATTTACTCTTTGCCTGAAGATGTTTGTGTGATACGCTCTTGCCCGACGATCAAAGTGCGCTGGAGCACCGTCTTATTGAAGGAAACGTCCTCCTGAAAGTTCAAATACCATGCAAACGATCTGGTAAGATGTGTGGTGCAATAAGGTGATCTCCAAGAATTCCAGAATCTCACCTACTTCTCGTACTGGTAGTGCGTGGATTTTCAACAGTACATTGGTGATTATTGAGGGAACTAAAAATATCCTCCCTTGTTAAAATTGTCATATCAGTAAACAACACGAGGTTGGGAAAATTAGGAACATCAGCACATTGGCGAAAGAATCACTGTGAGAATTGTTGCCGTAGTTCAAAATCAGGCTTCCCATACTTTGAACTGGTTGATCATGGAATGGATGTAGGTGCAAACCGTTTAAAACCCGACAGACACTCACATGATCTACGACCATTGCATGGGCAATTGCACGTGTGCTTGTTCTTGATTAGCAGCCACATGTACATTACGTCTTCTTCAAATTCAGGATTGATGTGTATCAGTTGACAGGTTCTTCTATCCTTAAGTCGACGATCAACATTGCTGAATAATGGGTTGCTAGGATGTCGTCTGTTTGGGTACCTTCTTGCGTACACCCGACTAGCTGCACTGGCATTCCTGTGAGCATCATCATAATACAAATGCATATCAGCTAGTTCTCTAAATGTGTAATTTCCTTATAGTAGGGTAAGGATGCCTATTATGAGACATCTTTTTTAAAAAATTCATGTTTTTTTTTCAATTTTAATATTTTTCTTGGAAAATTAACGTTTTTCTGTAGGGAATTTAATCTAGATCTTCAAAAAAACGCGAGAACGCCTCAAATTTGTATTTTAGTTTTTAAGTTAGATTTTATCAGAAAAGTAATATTTGCCTAATCGAAAAAGGGGTTCCCAATTTGAGACAGTATGGGTTCTCAATATGAGACGATCTCAAATTAGGGAATAAAGCTGAAAATGACTATAGTTGCTATAGTTTGCTCAAACATATTTTTATTGAATAAACAGAACATAAAACATGTTTAGGTATGCCTTTCTCAAAAATAAAAAACATTTTTTTCTATAAACAAAGTAACAGTTTCTCTTAAAACATCGAATGTGAACAAAATAAAAAAAAAGTTTAGGTTTTCAACCTTAACAACAAACGGCACAAATAAACCTTTTTGATTTTATTTTTCCACATTCTAGATGTGCCCATTTGAAACAGGCCTGGCATTTCTCCCTCTTTTCACTTCGCGTATCTTCGGAATACAAACCGGCGCAATATGGACACTGCATCGTCTTCCTCGTCTTCAGAAGAAAAATCCGTGGTGTGCGAAACAGTGTCATCATCTTCACTTGACGTTGATGATTCAGTAAAAACTTTCCTTTTCCCAGTTCCTTTTCCTTTTGCAGCACTTTTCCTTGGCTTTCTTTGTTTTTCCTTTTTTTTGACTCGTTTTCTTTTTTTCTCTTCAAAGCTTCTTCATTTTGTAGTTTGTACGGAGAAGATTGCGCTCATCTATACTAGTTACCCAGTGGTGAAAATGCTTTATATGCGACGCCTTGTCCCGTAATATGAGGTACCTCATATTAGGAGCTCTCAGGTGTCTCATACTAGGGTCTTAAGAAATTTTATTCAGTTTTAGGTTAGTTGGTAAATGCATGAAAAAAATTGACTCAACGGCATGACAAATAGATACTACGTCATGTTAGCTTTATGTTAATGATAAACAACACTGTCTTGCTAATAATTTTCTGTTTTCTACGTACCTTTACGACAAGCACTGCAAGTACTTTGGGGACCGGCACATACAAACTTGCCGCACAGCCAACTGCTTTCCCGCGCGACGTGGCCTCTTTTAACATACGATAGAAAGTGAACTGCCGGTAATATAGGACAGTGGCGCTTTTTTCAAAAGATGGCCTAATTTGCGAGAAAGCCCGGTGTATCATATTCGGAACTGTCTCATAATAGGCATCTTTACCTTACGTAAAGCATAATAAGTAGACAACTGTACACTGACTCTAGTAGACTAGTAGTGCGTTTACAGCACACTGCCACTGAATGGAAGGGGTGAACTAAAGGACGACAAGCACTAAGTAAACATATTATACTACTGTATTCTTGTTATGCAGCTATAATGTTATGTAAATTTGAATGCTTATTTCACAAAAGATAGAGTTTATTATACAGAGCTTTCATAAATGTATATAAGCCCCGTGACCGCTGAGGTTAGGCAACCAACATTGCAAGGCTGGTACATAGTATTTCTGTCGCATCACTTATCTATCACTAGATCCCCAAACTAGTTAAGTTATTCTTTAAAATGCCTTAAAGTAGCAACACTCAAATCAGTTATATTTATTTAATTAAAGTTAACTCGATAACTTCTATGAACATTTGGTACATCACGGGACATCAAGAATCAAATGATGAGAGCTTTCCCCACCTCATTAAACTTATGTACACACAAGTACCCTGGAAATTATCTTTCGCCAATTAGGTAAATATGTCCTCACCTACCTCTATTTTTCACACATTGACCGTGATGTAAGTGATGAAAAGGTTTGCATGCACAAAGCGAATTCTTCGTGCACATGCTTTTAACTCCTAAGACGTTCTGGCAGTCGTGCCGCTTCATACACGGTATTCTAGGTCTGGCAACTGAAACACACAAACCCATAAATTAGTTGTGGCTATCACCCTTCAGCGAACGGCTGAACAACTCATCTTTTCATGCGGGATATAAATAAGTGTATTATGCTAATGGTCAGGTCTGGATTCTAGTTTCATAGTTTACAAGTATAGGATCGAGTAAATCATTGTGGGATACCTATATTGGTTGTTTTTAAAAATTATTTTATTTAAAAAACGTTTGGTAGAAATAAAATTAATATTTATCATTTGCAAATTGATGCATATGATATTTAGTCAAACTATTTAAATTATTATTTTCTCCTTAAGCTGGAACTATTATTGAACTATTTAAAATTAGATGCTTATATTAAATTCTGGAGAGGTAAGTATATACTTCTCCAAAAAATTATAAAACATCTAAAAAGATAAGTTGTAAAATTTTTCAAAGGAAAATAATTTTTTATATCTTTCAACCGAGTTGATAAACGAAAATTAAATTTGGTACAGGGTTCTACCAAACAAGTCTGTACTATTTGAATATGTCGAGTATATATAAAATAATTTAGAGGCATCATTATCTTTTTTTTTGAGCAGTACTTATATGTTATTGAAATAATTAGTAATTTGCACACAAAAGGTAAGGAGTGTTTTCGAAAATAACGAAAAATATGATTTTAAAACCTTTCTTGACGATAACCACAGGACAACACATACTAGCCCTGACTTTATAAGAAATTAACCATTGGGTGCAGTTGCTAATTTCAAGGTTAGTTATATGCTAACCTCTGTTATCAAAATTCATATTTTATAAGAATGAAGTGAGTAACTAGTTGTTAATTAAGTTGTTAATTTTAGCACCAGCTGAGAAGATATTTTTAATGCATCTTATCTAACATTACATTATCCCTTATTGAATTAAATGGATGCATTTGGTATGTATTATTAGAATTTATAAGTAAATATTTTCTAAGAATAGGATAGAAAATTGTTTTCTTTCAAAATAAAATATTCAGAGCAGATTAGATCAGTACACCTCAACTTATAAGCTGTGCTTAAACTATAAATTAATCATTTATTCATTGCGCATATGTAAATACCATTATGTAGTCTAAGCAAAGTTTTCTAGTATATTTTCCAAGAACTTAAAGTAATGTACAAAATTTAAGCAAATATTAATTTAATAGTAGTCACTTCACATCTTCAGCACCAATCGTATATTTTTGTAAATAAAGTAAGGTTATGAAGGTTTCTGAAGTAAGAAGTAATGTTGCAGAATGCCTAATTTTAAGTTTTTGCAACCCGTTTAAATATCTAGGTATGTAGTGAATTTTTTTTATATACAAGTGGTTAATGAAGTTGCTTAGTTGCAGGCGGTTTGATATCCACTGTGTTAACCACTCTCTTATATCGTAATAGTAGGCGACATGTTAGCAAATCAATATTGAATGTTGTAGTTATTGAGGTAAAAATAACTCCTGTGAATTTGTTTCACACAGGACGTTGAATATGAAACAAAAAAGAGCAGTAAATGAAATTGAGAACAACATTAATTCATGAAAAATGTACTACTAGAGAAGGCTTTCAAATTGTCTTCCTTGCATGTTAATGTAGGCGCCATCATGTATGAATCATAAACCACACCTGATATTTAGTGTCACGGCCTCAATTGTCACCTCTGTTAAAGAGTGTGCAGCGTCCGCCGTTTAGTTGATTAGGCGATACAACAGGTCCTATTAACCTGTCTCACAGAGTACGAATTGTGCCATAAAGACCAAAGCGTTTTTGATGTCTGACTCTGCTTCAAAATTGAAAATTCCGATCCTGTAAATCCTGCATCGCCCGTGCATTCCAAATTAGGATCGTTAAGATGTTTTCTCTAAATGTATCTACAAAATGTTGATCGGCATCACAATCTGGAGGATTGAATATATATTGATATTGGATGTGGTAGGGATACTGTAGCTGTTCCCTAACAGTTCTATTCGCAATGTTCCTAATGATTTTCTTCCATTTACTTCAGAATTTGCTCTTCTACATCTATTTGCTGTTATGTCTAGGTCTTCCAGAGTCGATGGGAAAAAAACTCTATTATTAAAACATACAATTTATATTTGGTAAAAACCAATTTTCTACTATCCCGCTGGAGATCTGGAGAATATTTGTGGAGAAGGAACTTAACGATTCGGATAAGCCTCAGCAGACGACGATCTTCAAGTTCATTACTACTGGCACGTTTATATAATTATAAAATAATAAAATTTCAGAAGCAAAGCAATGATTTACTTTCATTTTTTATTATTAGTTATCCTGAAACCGTTCTCAATTTTACTTTACCATTTTCAAGATACACTAATTTTTTTAAAGGAAACAAAATATACGCATTTGAAAAATTTTGACATCATAAAAGACGGAGCTATAAATTAATTAAACTTGAGGTCCGTAGATTTAAAGTGTCAAATTAAACCACGTTATCATTTTCCATAAAAAATCCCGAAGATAAGAATATAATTTTACGGAAAAATACAACCAAAAAAAGTAGGTTGTTTAGCAATGTACAATCATTATGATACTTGGGTCTGTAGATGCATTAAAACACAGTGTAAATAAAAATAATAATTGTCGGAATCGTCCAACGTAACAAAATTTGACGCGTTTTACGGATTCAATCTGAATATCCTGTATATGTAGCTATAACAGTAGTGGGCCCATTTTGAAATATTTTGAATGAAAAAAAAAAGAATGAAAATTACTTTCAAATTCCAAAAGCACGCCGCTGTATTTAAGAAAAAAACTGTAGCTTGTATATACGTTTATTGACAATTAAAGTTTAAAACTGCACATACCAAACCTGACTGAACTTGCTTCACCCATTTTCTTCTAATTAAAAGGATTTTTTTGAAATTTAACATCCTGTATCTCGAAAGTAAATCGTTTCCAGATATACAAGTTATAGGAACGGAACCCCTTTTTCTTTCATTTGTGATGAAAGTTTGTCGAAGCATTTTAGTCACACCATAATATGTAGAAGAAACTGTTTTTTCATAAATCATTAAATTTCAAAATTAATTTTCGATTTTATACATTTATAAAATAGCTTGGGAAATTTTGTATTGTTTTATATGGAACAAAAGTAACACATGTCCACGTAAATAACAAAGATCGTTTGTCAGGAAAACCACCAGACGACATAGACCGATTCAAACTTATTCTCATTAGTATGTCATAAATGAGATGACGAAGGAATGATTTAATTATTTGAATATCTATTTACCGACATTAAGATATGATATATATTGTAGGCTCACACATTATTATTCAAGTTTAATTCCCAATACTATAATAATTGTAACTTTCATTGCTTACCACACGTGAACTGAAATTTTTAAAAATCTAAGTAACTATGCATTCAAGTTCAATTAAACTTTTACAAAGTGCAGAAAATTGAGTCATACGCCTCTGGAGTTTTGCTTTTTGCGACAATTCTTTCTATGGAATAAATCTTCTTGTAATATATCCGTTCCATCAGCAGTAAATAACGCATCCATTGTGAAGATATATAGTTTTTAATTATATTTAAGTCCACTTAAGTGTTATTTCCTAATTAGAATACACTGAGCTATTAAGCTTATGTTGTGCATAACGTTGAAAAATGTGAGATTAATGATCTCTATGGGATATTTAGCGTTTATGAGTTTTGCTTAATTTATTACGAAAAATTTTTAAATGATGGTCTCCATGTGTATCTCAGTTTCAACTGAATTTAAATAAATGTTTATGATATGTCTTGGGAATGTTCTTGCCTTTTTAAAGGAAATGAGGATGTTTACATAAATTTCTAATCGCTTAACACCCTTCTCTTTTGTATATGTATATTGAATTCCAAATATTTTTAAAAAGTTACAGAGTGGGTTTTTTGTATTAGAAAATTAGTAAATGATTTTTGTACATTATATTGCATTTAAAAGTGCAATTCAATATGCAAAATATTTTTAAAAAGTGTAAAACAAAATAGTTTTTTTTTCTTACGAACATATTCATTTTCTTACAAAACAATGAAATCTGAAACTATAGCAGCTCTTGACGATTCTGCAGTAAACAGCATTTTGATAGATTGCATAGTTTGGAAGTAAAACATATTTAAAAATTGTTTGTTCGAAATTTCAAAACATTTGAGGTGATGGGAAAAGAAATAATGAAAAACAGTAAGTGTTCTTGTATTTATCATTTGGCTCCATGGATATAAAAACACAGAAGGATTTTTGGACCATATTAATAGAATACTTTCGGACGTAAGTCTTCACTATGATGATGGAAGAAATCGGTAACTATACTTTTCTAGCAATCTGGATGTCCTTGTCAAGCGATTGGGGCACAAAAAAATCAAGATCAGATAAAATAAATTATCTCAACATACAGTCTCTCACCATTTGGTCCAGAAATAATGTATCGTTAATGCATTGGTGCAATGATGTAGGGAAACTACACCACCTACGATCAGATATGAAATTGACATATAAATAGAGATTTTGAACGAGTGAACAAAATAATATCTAACATCAAATAATACGAGGAATATCTCTGTCCTAAATACACGAATGTACTGACAAGATGAGCTACCTTCTCAGATAACCCAACATTTAATATTTCAAGGAAGATAACGGCAGCCTTCCAAAGAAAGACTTATTCCAAGATCTCAATGTATACTTGTACATGTGGCAAAGTATACATTGGACAAACAGAGAAACATGTTACATGAGGTTAAAGGAATGCAAATGTCACTTAACAACGTAGAAAGTTCAGCAGTTACGGAAATAAGTAGATCTAAGTAATATCAGAAATCTAAAGAGAACATTTTGGCCACAACTCTATAGAGAAGTAGTAAATTATAAAAAATCGAGATAATTTCAATCGCAACAAAACTTAGGACGGGAATTAGAAACTACTCATGCATAAAAATCAAAAACCGAAACCTCACAGGTTATAGGGATTTCAAACCATAGAAGGAACACCATAAATCAATGCATACA